CTGAGTTAATGAACAAGGGCATAATTGGACATTTGCACATCAGTACTAAGACACACCTGGACACACACACACACACACACACACACACACACACACACACACACACACACACACTTATAGTGACACACACACTGATGCACAGCTCTCAGATGACCAGATAAGTGAGTAGCAGAGCACCAAAGCACATTCATAATAGATAAGACAGGATGGAGGAAAGAGGAGGGGAGGGGGTGGGTAGGTGAGGAGGGGGTAGGGAGTTTGTAGGTGAACAGAGGAGTGCCAGGAGCCTTTTAAGAGCAGAGGTAGAGGTAGAGAGGAACAGAAATAGTGGCTTGAGAGTCTGGCCAAAAGACAGAGTCCTCCATCGTCTTCTTTTAGGGAGGATCTGCCTATTTTTGCTCTGACTGACCCCCTCCTCTCGTTCTACTCTCCCTCAGATGACCCAGCAGATGTCGGGCATGGCCGTGAGCACTGGAGCGCCGGCTCCGACCACTTTTAGCCAATCGGGGGCCCCAGCTGCTGGTTGGCCCACAGCTGCACCAGCGGTGTCCGGCCAGACCCTCAGCACCCAGCTGTGGAAGTGACAAGCAGAGTGTCTGTAGGATGAACAGAAGGGAGAGGTCACGTGAAAGCAAAATGGCTGGCATCTCCTCTTCTGTCTCCTCACAGCTCAGAATAAAAAACGCACAAGTTGGGATGGTCAAACCAGCCCCAAATCCCCTCCTTAACCCTGACACACCTTCACCGTGAATCCTTTAAAAGATGAGATGACACAGGATGGAGTCAAGGAAAAAAGACGTACTGGCAGCTGTTGTTTCGTGTCTTTATTTCTCTTCCTTCCACTTGATTTCCTTTCGTTGTTGTCTGAAGAAAGCAGATCGACAGAAAAGAAAGCTGCTGCACACGAACTCTGAGTGTCTGATCTAGTAATATTATCTCATTACCAAAATGAATAGTTAGTGATCGTATTTCAATACCTACAGTAGATATGGCTATCTCGTGGTCGGTCAGTTCTACCTTCTCCCGTCCTCTCTCTGCTGTGTATATTGTAGCCCCTGCCTCCCTCCCTTTCCCTCTCTCACCCTCAGCAGGGTGAGCAGAGCCTTGTAGCAGATAGTTGTCTGAACAGTACTGTATTTATGTGAATAAGATTTGAACCTTAAACTTATCCAGAGCCATAAGAACGAGCGGCTGCTTCTTCTCTCTCTGACTTTCTTTGATTTGTCTTCTCTTCATCATCTGACTCTCACTATGTGGGCAGATCATCTGGAGATGATGTTCTCCACCTTTCTTTACAGCCAGTGTTAGTACAGCTGACATTGAATCATAGCTGCTAAGGCTGGGCTCAAACTACAGAAGATGAAATCTTGACTGATTTTGCATCAGTGCCACAGAGAGATACTGATCATTTATTTTTTTTACCAATACTGATGCCATTATTGGGACTCTTGATTTGAGTCTTTATTGATGTAAAAATCGAGTCTTTTCAGATTTTTGGTGAGTCTTATGCTGCGTTCCAGTTACCTCTGAAGTCGGATGACGAAGCTGGGAATGACGCTACACCAGAGTTGATGGCTTTCTAGTAAACAACTTGGAAAACCAAGATGGACACCTACTGTTAGCCATTGTTAGCTGTTGTTAACAATTGTTAGCTGTCATTAGCCGTTGTCAGTTGTTGTTAGCGGTAGTTAGCTGTTGTTAGTCTTTGACAGCTGTTGTTAGCTATACCAGTTGTAAACAACGCATAACACAGTATTTTACCAACACCATATCGCCATGTTCACAGTTAGACGTTAGGCAGTACAACATATACCACTTATTTAATTTCACAAACAGAACAGAAGTGGTAATAAATAATATATTACAAGAGCTTTCACTCAGTGTGTTTACATGCACTGCTTAATCGGACTAAAATCAAAATTTGTTTTTTTTCGCTGAATTGAACTTCTCTCCTTGTCCGTGTATACATGCAGCTAAGAAAATTGAATTATTGACGTGAACGTGTTCTCCTCCCTAAAACTAGGGGGCGATATGGGTCTTTTCAGCGGCGCTGTTTGCGACCCCATACAACTGCCAACAACAACAGCAGGTCTGTGCCGGACATCGGAAGTGGCTGCAACTGCTGCTGGGTATTTTCGAGCAAGAAGAAGCACTGTACGAGCATCGTACAGCTTTGTTTTGTTTTTGTCGTACATGATGCACGCGCCACTTTTTCTGCAGATGAGATGCACGCTACTCCTCTTCTCCGGGGGCGTGGCGCACGCGCTCACACATTGTCCGATCATACTCCGACTGGTTACATGGTAGAGAAATTTGAATTCCAATCACATTATCTGGATGTCTTAATCAGAGTTCTCTGACTCCAATCAAAGTTCTCAAACTCCAATAATAGTCAGACTAAAGTGTTTACATGCACCTTAGTTGTCTGGTCTTAATCGTAGTGAGGCAATAATTTGTTTTTCTCGAGTGTCATGTAAACGTACTGACTGTTAGTCTTTAATGTTGATGCACTGCACTGCCATCTTGGATTATGACATTGCGCCAAGTCAGGGTTAGTGAAGATCAACTTTCTGAGTTGTAAATCTGACTTCAGGGGGGCTTTCCAGATGAGTTTCCGACTCTGAGCTTGCAAATCCTGACTGCTAAGTACAACTGGAACGCAGCATTAATTCGATCACTGAAAAAGTGAGCTCAAACCAAACTGAATTTTGGGTTCTGAAAAATGCAGAACCAGGACCTGATCTACATCCCTGCTTTACACACAGGGGAAAACATTTTAGATGTTGTTCTCCTGTCTCATCTCTGACATGCACACCGAACTATATATCAAAGATATCATGTGTGCCAGAGGCAACATATCGCCTGTAGTTACGTTGAATCGCTGAATACAAATTTACAGGGAAGTAGATGTAAATAAAAAAGCAGTGACTGATGGCAACCTACTGAAGTATGCAGCAAAGATGTTGGAGAACTAACTGTGGTGTAACCTGCATGAGAAAGACAACAGGAGAGACATCAGGTTAAGCAATTCATAGTCTGATAAACATGGCAGACAAATGTAAGGGTGGCAGTTCGCTTAAGATAACCATCCAATTTTAGAGATGTTCAGAAATATATTAAGTTTTCATGTCCAGTTATCGTCTCCAGTCACCTGTTTGTTCACCAAGCTCTGGAACATCCAAAACCTGCAGGTGCGTCTGCGTGAGCAGTCGTTATGACCCGAGTGTAAAACTAGACATGCAGCTGGCTAGAGCAATAATATCATCAAAAGCCGCCTCTCAAAACTGAACGTCTGCTTGATCATTCGTGTGACATTGTTTGTGAGAGCTTAAGACACACACCGACCACATGTACAGTCAGTCCACTGCATGCTCAGGTGAAGCTCTGCACTCTTGCAATATCAAACAGACTCACCGTTGGGAATTCTTTGGAATGAGGAAAACTTGAAGAGTAGAACCAGACTGGAGTTGAACAGCGAGATTTATTTGATTATCAGGAATGAAAACTGTTATCGCTCAAGTCGGCCTGAAACTTCTGTAATCTGAGCCCAGCCTAAGACAGACATTGTTGGCTTTTTGTTGATTTAAACAACCACTGATTCATCATTCAACAGTTTTGCCTCAGAGTTTCCATAATGGTCTGATCCTGAGGGTGAAGACTGTCCCATTTACCCAAATGTGTTTTAAATACAGGATATAAGAAGATCACAGAACATTTCTTGTTAAACACTGGAAAGTCAACTAAAGTAGTTGTGCGAAAGCTCACAACATTTAACTTTTATCAATGTCCAAAAAAACAGATATTTAAACTGTGACACCGTGGGTGGGTCAAAAGTATGTACTACAGCTCCAGGAAGACAGTGAGTAAATCATTTCTGGTGATGCATCTTCTGAATATTTGAACTGTTAAACTGTATTTCAGTATCGTATTAGCAGGCAAATATAATGGTCCGACCCTGTTTCTGATACTGAAAGATCATTATTAACAAAACTCAAAAGTCAAGAATTCCCTGGGAGGCTTCCTGGTCCCATGGGTGTCTCTGGGAGCCACGCTGTGCTGTCTTGATGTCTTTAAAAAACAAACGATCCAGCTACAATGGAGACTGTGCTCCGACCCAGTTAAGATGTTCCTTGTTTTCCAAATGATCCGTTCCCCCAGCTGTCCCCAAGGCAAATTAAAGCTCTACTGGCACTGCGACGCTTTGTCTTTGCTGCACTTTAAATAGCCGAGCAGGTTCTGTATTTCTGGCTGTGGCTGTGGTTTCAGACGATGTCAGGGAGCAGCAGAGATATGTGAACTGTCCCTCCTAACCCCACTGCAGGGCCGGAAATCCACATTATTTTTATTTCTAAATTGAACCGATGTGACACCACTGATGTTTCTCCCTTCATGTATGACCTTGCTACCATTTGCTCTGCCATCAGCCATCTTTATTGTGGTGTTTTGCTGTGTGCAGTACAAGAGAAGCACAGTTTGTCTGAAGCAAATAAACCTGGATGACCAGTCAGAGGACTTCATGGGCGATGCATGGGATCAGACCGTGCTAGTAAAGACGGACCTGTATGAAAACTCTGGATGGGTCACATCACCACTGCTCAGTCCTCATTTATGTACGATAAGGACTGGGCAGTGGACAAAGAAGATGAAGTATTATTGAACTCATTGTTCATAGCTTCACTTGTCTTATACAGCTGCTTCGTCAAAGGCCTAGAGCCTCAAAGTACGACGGTCTAGGTCCTACTCTTGGGTCCAATGTGCACTTTCACAACTAGCAATAACAAATACACAGCATGTAGTTTAAAATTCAGGAAGCTGACTTAGCGATACTGAATAAGCACTACAAGGCTTTTATTATAATCTTAATTTAAGAATATGCTACATTATCCAATGTTCAATAATACAAGCTGCTAAATGACCAAGGAAATTAGAAATACCTTAAATTTTCTGAAATCTACAGCATTGCGCAATATTTTATTTTTTTTCTTTCTCATCAGCTCATTATAAAATCCACTAAAAACATGTTTCTAGTTAAGTTAGGGATGTATGTACACACTTACCCTGAGATGAGTGCTTGAGTCAGAATCTCAGCCTGGTCTACCTAAATCAGAAGTTTGTCTAGCATCCTGTTTCTGCTGGAGGGACAGAGACATAACTCATGAAACTTCACTTTAAAAGTTATCAAATGTCCCTTCAGCGGCTGCTTGATCATTTCTAGTTGTTGGTTCTGGATGTGCAGAAGCTGCTACGGTCTGTTTCAGACAAATTTGGCATTTTAGAGTTTGAACCACTTCCCTTCTGAGACTGACCTATAGGGCAGCTGGCTTCACTACAGACTTCACTTTCAGAAATCCACCCTAGTCTGTATTTCAAACATTTTGTTGTCCTCCACGCCACTCAACCGTAAAAGTACATCATAAACTGAAAACAGGGTCCAGAAATGATGCTTGAGGACTACCCACAGTGTCAGATTTGGAGACAGTTGGTCTCTGACAAGCTGCTGTGTATCTGACAAGTCAGGGCTTGGGAACAAATGAGCAATGAACGACAACATTACATACAAACCCAGATTTACGCACAGAGTTAAAGAGACACACTGCCGAGTGCTGGAGCAGAGATTCATGTCCGTTCACACAGGGTCCCTCTGCCATGCAATAACTGTAGCACTCTCTCACGCATAAACATGTTAAATCAAGTCCTCCAGGTTTATTTCCAAATGTGTTTACAATTTCTGGTGCCTAGTACAGAGAAAAAAAAAGTGGTTTTCGTGCATTATTGTAAATATACAGGTCTGTGTTCATGTTTGTCCAGTGACTCTGAACTGTAAAGGTACCGTTTGAACTTCCTGGATTTTCATTTGTTTGCTCCTTTCTTTCTGTTCTGAGTTTCAACAGGAGGGTCGCTGAAATAAAGGCTGTCGAATCCTGGATCTTGTTTTTTATTTCCTGTGTTTACATCAGACACAGTCCCCTCTAAACTCAGGTGATCAGGACAGAAGAAGAAAACAGCTCCTTCACATCTCAGCATCCCGTCTGATGTGCTGTTTACATCCTGTCTGCTCGGTTCAGTCCTTTTATTCCTCGGCTGGCGGGTGCGTTTGTTTGCGGGGTGAGTTGACTTTGTTGTCCGCCCACAGACTCTACATTATTGATGGCAGCTTGTCAGCAGAGATGTCACTTGTTATTTCACATACTGACACAGTGAGAGGATGGCAGCAGCGTCTCCAGTTCATTACACATGGTCAGTACAGGGTGAAGTTACAGACGCATCAATAAATCATTCTCATATCAACTCCCATCTATTAACGTGATTTATAAACCAGATTCCCACAGTGGCAATCTCGCTTTGGTGTCATGCCCAGGGTAGGAAACTCACTTATTTAATCGTATGTTACTTTGTTTTGAGTCACAGGTTGCGTAAACCTTCATAATCGAATCGTGGTCATTTCACAATAGCTGGAACATAAATAATTTTAGCATTTCGCCACATTGTACTTTAAAATCTCAACTGCAGAAGAGAGAAATGTTGCCACCAGTAATCTGATTATTTCACAGATTAAAACCACGAAAGTGCAAATGTTTGTTGTGGCGCCTGTATTTCACATTAGGTGGCGAATGGTACAATGTGACGTAAGGGCCGCAATGGTGTTTTGGTTGAATAATTGACTGTATAAACTGAGGATATTCAGCATGTCACTATGACAACCACACAAGCATGCGGCTTTTATAAATTAATCATACTGATTGTGCAAATGTTTCTCTTTTTCTGTTGTATCAGTGACTTAATTGTTCAGTTGGGAAGTGCCTGAAAGCTGCCTCGATCCGTCTCCTGATTTTCACTCTTATCGTGTGTTTTGCTGCTTCTCAGTTGGAGGGCTGCGAAATGACTACAACCTGTGAGATTATCGAGATTTATATGACCCAAGAAATATATGGAAACAAGTTTTTGCCCTTGAGCATAACTTCACAAGAAGACAGCTGTTTATTTGTTCAAGGAAAAGTCAACATGTAACAGGTTAGAGGCGTATGAAAAGTATGAAGAAGGTGAGGTTGTTTCTTGAAGACTGAGGCTTTTTCAGGCTTTTTGGCAGGTGACAAAGTGAGTAAAAAAAGAAAAGGAGAGTAAAGTTGATGCAAAACAAATAATGAAATCTAGCTCAGCATTTTTTTTTTAACTCCGTACATCTTAGGAAAGTTAATTAAATCAGTTTTGTAAAATACTTTTGCTTGCCTTCTTTAAAAATTCAGATAAGAAAATTTATCCGAAATCATCTTTTTAGACAATTACATGCAGCTGTTTGGAGTGCTGCTGAACTTTGTGTGTGTGTGTGTGTGTGTGTGTGTGTGTGTGTGTGTGTGTGTGTGTGTGTGTGTGTGTGTGTGTGTGTGTGTGTGTGTATTGTTTATCCGGTTAAGTGACACAGCGTATTGATTCTATTCAAGAGTATGCTGGACGGGTGACCTCTCACTATCATTCCTAAAAATTCCAATAACAATCTGAACGTGTTGGGGCAAAAACGTGATGTTTGTAAGAAATTAAAGCTAGTTTCACGGCTGCTGGCTGATGCGATCTACAGGAGGCTTGAGTACTTTTGTCAGTAATTGATGTACTGAGTTGAACCTAGGTTTAAAAATGTGGGCATTGCCCTTTAATGCACAGATTTCAAACATTACAATCACACTCAGATATCGACATTTATCAGATCCACAAGACTTGTTCATCAGGTGATAATACCAGCATCACAGTTGATTTGATTCAAAATGAAGTTATTATTCACATGGCAACTTTTCAGTCCAGGAACATGTTTCACACATTTATGCTTCTGTTGTTTTTACACCAGCAGGTGGTTCAGGGAGGAATAAACAGTCCCAGTCCTCCCAGTTTGTAAAATCACATATTCACGGCCGTTAAGCTCTCATCCAGCAGGTTTGACAGACATGTCTTAAATCATGCAGCTCTTTCAGAGTCTGTGTCCACCATGAACAGATTGTATGAACCTGATAAGGAGAGACAGCAGGGTGCTGTCATCAGTCCCAGCCAAAAGATGACGGCCAGCAGCGATCATCATCTGGTTTTGGATCCTCTCCTCTCCTCTCCTCTCCTCTCCTCGCACTGCAGACTCGCTCACACCTCAATGACCACAGTGTCTTTACGGTGTTTGGGCTCATTTGCAAGGTGCGGTTTCTCTGTGCGAGTGTGCCAGACCAGTACCTGAAAAAGAAAATGAGAGGGAGGATGAGAAAATGTGCTGACAGAGGAAACACTTGGCTCTAAATAAAGACTGAAAAGGCTGGTATGCTCGGATAAACATGGCGCAGATACAAGTGGATGATGGCAGAGCTTCACAGATACTGTGATACACTAAACTCTGATATTGATGTGCAGTATTTTTAGCAGGCATCAGCTGACACCTGATAGTCTGGGCCAAGTTTTACTGCCTCTGAACAGATAATAAATAACAAGGACAGTAGTAAAAATATGCACATGTTTAAACTGTTTGAGATTTAATGATCATATCGATTTTAAATTTAGTTAGAATACCCATCAGGAAGTTTTAGATACTTGTAACACTACTGAGCACTGCTTTAAAAAAGAGTGACCTCATCTACGGAGTTTTTAGATGTTTGTAAAATATAATGAAATCCATATTAATAACATTTAAAAGCAAATAAGAGCATTGGTGATTCAACTGATGATTTTAATATTGTCATTGTTACTGCCTGAAACTGGAGTATGGGACTTTCAGCTGATACCTGTGTCTTTAGGAATTAGCTGAGAACCTCCTGTATTTATATTTCCCACATTAAATGATATATTAGACTGTTAGACTGTCAGAAGTCAACAGGATGAGATTCACTGCCACATGACCCTGCTGAGGCATAAAGACAAGATATGCATCGACTGGACTGGACTAGACTGGAGTGCCAGAATTGGCAAAAACCAAAGATAAGAGATAGAGGATACAAAGATAGGTACCAAGATAAGAACCATTAGAAAGATAAGAACCAAGACCCTTAATAACAGATACTCCTACTCGAGGTGGAACAAAGCACTTCCATGTTTTCGTTCACATCTATTTCTACAACATTTCTACAACTGTAACATGTCTTATTCATGAAATGGATGGTTGTATGAAAATATTTTAATTAAAACTTGTGTTTCAAAAAAACATAAATCAAGGCCTCTCCAAAAGAGAGCATTGCCAATATGTATATATTCCCAAATATGCAAATTTCAGCCCGCCTGCCAAATTTCATGAGTTTTTGAGCCCATTTCGGGGGTTTAAGATGAAAATCTTTAATAATGATAATTAATAACTACTGCAATTTCCTGCTGCTTGCAGCGTCGACTCAGGCCCTTAAAAAGAGTTTGTGTGGAAGTATTTAGGGTTCACATGATAGATGGAAAATAAAAGACAAAGACATTGACTTTGTGAACAACAAATTTGCAGGCTTATCTGATGGCCTGCCACCAAAGCAGAGCAAGTCTTGCTCAACACTTCTACAGCCACTTCATTTCTGAAGACTAGTTGTTGCCATGTAATTTCAGGAGCGTATATGACCACAATGATCGCAATTTCAAGCCTAGGTTCTACAAGGTTGAGTTAACCATCAGAGAGAAGGAGAGATAGTGGGAACACTTGTACTGAAGAAGCTGGAGTCAGAAAATGTCAAACTTATCTCTTCATCAAATGCCTCAAATGTTTAAATCGATTGCCAAACCTGTTTGATCTTGCAAACAGATTATTTGCTCTGGCTCCAGATCAGACAATTCTATATGACCCCTCACTTCGTTGCCTTTTTGAAGACTGACACCCAAAAAAGTTACAGGATTTCTGAAGCTCTTTTCTCTGTTGAAAAGACTCTTTGAGGAGAGAATCTTCCCTTGATGATGTTCTGATGAAATATCTGTCAAAAGACAGACACTGCTGCGTTCTGTGAAAACAGAGATTGCATTGTATCCCCCTGCTGTTGAATTTGACGCTCCGCAGTGAGCCAGGAGAGCTCCACACTCAGGAAACAGTCTGACACCTCTCCAAAGCGGATCAAATCAACAACAGCAGCACACACCTCACCGCAGCTGTTTGTCTTTGTGTTTGCAGCCAATTTCACAGCAATATGTAGCTGAGAAAACACTGCAGCCCAGCGACGATTGGTATTTTCCTGGAGAGAAGGATGACTTCAATTCCCAAGAGGTTCAGGTGAGGTTTTTCGGATTAAGAGTGTTTTTTTTAGTCACTATCTAATGAGCTTATAATTCATGTATGTGTGACATTTCTGTGTCTAAAGCAGCACACACTCTCTCACAAAGGCACACACAGGTATGATTTATTGCTCGCCCTGATCACTGCCGGTGTCTCTGGGCCTCTTCAGGTGGAACATGTCACTTCCTGCACACTTGGCTGCTAATTGGCCCACTTTGCATATCTAACAAGGCTAATGTAGCCGCCGCCTAAGCATCACTCCAGCGCTGTGGGAAAATCGTTGCCGAATGTGTGTGTGTGCATGCATCTGTGCACCTGTATGCGTGTGTGTGTGTGTGTGTGTGTGTGTGTGTGTGTGCACCAATTACACAGTCAGAGTGTCCTCCTGGACTCACACACCCCTCCTTCTTACTCTCGCTCTGCTCTTCTTTTCCTCATTCATCACTTCCACTTTTTCCCCTCATGGCTTTCCTCCTGTTTTTACCTCACCGTCCTCTCTCCTTGCTCCATCTCTCCACTCCTCCCTGAGGCCACGTGAAGACAAAAAGCTTTACCGGTTTAGAGATTCTTTTTACCCCCTTAATGGCATAAAGAGAGGACAGACCTGTTTCTCTCCATCAGGAGGAGGAAATGAGGAGGAGCACAACAGTCCTGGGCTTACCTCTAAGTAACATCCATCTTATGACTGTGCTTAAAATTTAGTTCACGGAAAAACTGCTCCAACTTTAGTCGTTTTTATCATTTCTATCACTTACATTAACAGTGTACACACGGGAGACACAGCAACAACAACTGTTGCCTGTTTATGACCTTAAGATCTGACCGTAGAATCTCTCCATCAGTGACATGAGTGTTTCTGCAGTCTTATTCGGGCTGTCATGGTGAGGACTTCCCTTCGTGGGGATTCAGGGTAGCTCAGTACCACAGTGCAAAGGTCTTTGTACTTTCTAGTTTTTAAAGATGGGGTAGACAGGATTCCGTTAAAGAAGCATCTTTTTTTGTGGTGTATATACGAAGAAGCTTTTAATATCAGTCAATAGGGAATATTATAATATTGCTGTGTTCTGTTATGCCTGTGTAGTCAACACTTTACAATTTTTGAGCGGCCCTCTCATTCTGACTGTAAACAAAGCCATTCTCCGCCTCCCCCAACATGATTGGTTGTGAGGAAGATGCTGCTCCTCCGTGTTGTGAAGCATGCTCCACTTCCTTGAATAACATTCACGAGCTCCAACACAGTTAACGTGCTACAATATTAGACAGAAGAAACCAACCAGAAAGTACAGAAAATTGTCTGAATCCTTATTTGGCCATGACTGCCAACACAAGCAAGAAAACGTAGTAAATACTGCAGACTCTGATGGAATAACGGGCGCTTGAAAAGAAGGTAGCTTGGAAAAGAGCTAAAAAGCCGAGTCAACATCAATGACGCCTAAACGTTGGGCAACGCTTCAGGATCTTACAGACTCTGTAACCTTTCTACTGGACAGGTAAACCGCTTTAACAAAGTAAGCCAAGTGTAACAGAAGTGTTTCTTGTCAAACAGGATCTGCTGCATGTTGTAGCGCCGCTTAACTGTTTACCTCAGTCCTGGACTTTGTCACTTTATCCTCATTGTTGAAGTCCTGCAAACATTGTGTTTGCTGGTAGTCTGCTGGCATCTGCAGTAGCACCAATGCTTTTTACTTTCATGTTGACTGGGCCCCATTCTAATCATCTGAAGTATTTATCTACATTATATCTGAATTTAACTGAAACGATATGAGTGAGCAGGAACATCTGTTTGTGGGCGGGGCTTGCTGGAGGAGAGAGGGAGGAGAGATGAGGAGCTGAGGGGAAAACTGGTTGGGAGGGGTAGAGTTTACATTCAAGATTTCTCCCCAAAAACTGGCGCTTATTCAGATCCTGCCTACCCCACCTTTAAGCCAAGGTTACCCCAAACCCCACTCTTAAATGATCAGGTGGATCACAGACAACTTGAGCTGGAGAATACAGTCTTTGAAGTTATCAGTAAACATAATATTTTTGGATTCAATGTTTTTCTGGACTTTGATTGTGGGGACCTTTTCTACTGAATTAGAAAGTGTACCATTCAGATTTTAGGATAATATTTTAATCAAATAGTGCTGTGTCCTTTTAGTTGCCTTATCATTCTTCGGCATGTTAAAATATGTGAGTCAAGGCAACACTTCCTGGAAAAATCCCAAACTGTGTCCATCACCAGGCAGAGCTTGGTCTTCCTGAGAGAGTGGGCAGAAGGGGAAGTGTTCATAATTTCCTGCTGTCATTGTCTGATGCTGTCAGCTCAGATATCACCCGGTCACATCCAGACGGTTGGCCTGTCATCTTCTGCTGTCATCTGAAAGTTCATCCCTGCTCTCATTATGTGCATGCCATCATTTCCCTTCACAGTTTCATCAGCTTCATCATTTTTTAATCAGCTAACACCTCCTCACCAGAGTCCAGACTCTGGCAAAATCTTTACTTTATGTAACCGCCTCAGCTTTTACAGTTTGCCATTAAGAAAACAAGAGGCCACCAGATTTGACCACTGCTGTTTTCTGTAGGTATATTAAACCAGCCTGCCAGGACACAACTTAAGGCAATACACACTTTGTGTTGCATTTGATTACAACTTTTTTGATTAGCATTGAATATGTAAAAAACAAAGGTATAAAACAATCCATTTCAAGCTTTAAATATAGTCTGGAACTCAAATCTACTTATTGAAAGAGAATTTTGCTAAATGTGTTATAAACTGATTTTTCAGGTCGTTTACCAGACGACACAGTTAGGATCAAGTTTCTCTTCTATGCATTCGCTCAATCACTTTAAACAGGCCTAAGTATGCTGCACATGCTCCAGAGGTCGCATGTCAGACTTGTGTAGTTTGTAACCATAGACTGTATATAGAATGGACGCAGTCTGTCTCCTCTCTGGGTGAAGCCACCGTGAGAACAGCACTCTGTGGTGACAGACTGCAGAATAGGTCATAAATCTCGCCTCCTCCAGCAATCCCTATGAAGCTGTGGACAAACTTTTTTATTACAAAGAATATAAAATTTTCTTCCCCTGCTTGCAATGTTGACATGTAGTTATTGTAAGACTGATTTGTGCTCAATCCTCTTTTTTCTGTACAGCTCCATTTTTAAATTTATAGGGGGTTCATGTTTTCTATGATTGACACTTGATACAGCCTATAGACGCACAAAGATTGCACAGCCGAGCATCATCACAGCGACTCTCGGCGACTCTCCTGCCGAATGCGTACAACACTACTGCGCAATGTTGGTTTCAGGAAGCGGAGAAAAAAACGGAAATACCAGGAGCTTTTCGGCTTCAAGTCCATATACTGGCGAAAGGCAGAACCAAGTTGTCCATAGTATATACAGTCTATGTCTGTTACACAGTTGGATTGCAAGGAAACAAGATAGTAAACAAGTTGTAAAAATGACATTTGTTTTCAATGTTTCGACATCCCTTTGTCCACGTGCTAAAGCATTTGCTTTTTTTGTAGCTCAACCAGGAGACTACCCAGCAGTAACGAACTCAAAGGTGGTGTGTCGCCACTTACCCTCGCAGACACATGCATGCTTCTATCAGTAGTTTTATTTTCACCTGGTGCGTGTAAACTGGGACAAGGACAGAAGTCCAACTAAAAACATCCAACTCTAGAGCCATGTAAAAAGCAGAAGTTTCCCTGAATGGAACAAATCTATGTAAAATGGACTCATTGTGCTTCTAGGATCAGATCCAGAGTCGTTGAAAATGCAATAGAGTCCAGACGTTTCTGTGTCCTTTTTCTGTCTCACATGTCTTCTTTTTGGACTCTACCTCCAGTCAATACAACAGACTCACCCCCCTCTTCTCTGCAGAGCTCTTCATCTCCCTCCTCTCCTCTCTATCTCCTCTTCCTCCTGTACTATCATCTGTCTCCATCTGTTCCTGCCTCCCCCTCCTCTCTTGTCCTGTCACTGCTGTCTGTTGCCATTACTCTCTCTCTCTAACTACATTACAGATCCTGTCAGCTGTCTGCAGATACTGACCCAGCCATCAGATGAGCATTTCTGCCCTCCATTGTGAAGGTCAGATTGAGGCTCTGTGATCTGATCCTGATACTTTCCTTGAAGTAGATGGAGCCTGGAGTACGACTGTGTGGCTGTTGCCAGGAGGGAATCAATGCTAAATCATTTCAATCTCAAATGCTCAGACCAACCACAAGCTTTAATGATACTAAAGTCTCTCAGACACATTAAGAAGAATGGCTGTTTAGTGACTTAATAACTTATGTCACTCTGCCGTTCAGTCCTATATTTCAACACAAATATTAATGACTGGCCATCATGGGTTATGGTTGGCAAGAGGACGATTTTGCTTCAAGCACACTTGGTTTTACAGCTCAGGACAAAAACAAAGATTGCATCACAGATATCTGCTGTCCCCTGTCTGTCTCTCTCTCTGTCTCTCTCTCTCTCTCTCTCTCTCTCTCTCTCACCTTCACTCTCTTTTTCTCCCTCCCTCTGTCTCCCTAGCTCTTTTCCTCTCTCTCTCTAAATCTCTCTCTGTCTCTCTCACTGTGTATTTCTCCCCAACTCAGTGGCGGCAGGTGGCTGCCTAATATGAGTCTAGTCCTGTTCAAGGTTTCTGCCTGTCAAAAGGAAGTTTGTCCTTGCCACTGTCACTCATGTTAGATGAGTTGGGTCAAATCTGCCCCATCTTAAGGTTGGGTCTTGGTAATTCATCAAACAATGAACGTGGTCTAAACCCACTCTTTTTTTTCTTGGAAGGCATCTTGGGTTAATGATTGTTGTGATTTAGCGCTATATAAATAAAGTTTGATTTGATTTGATAATCTCTGGAACAGGATCAGAGAGGATCAAATTTCCAGAACAGACAGGCCTTCCTTTTATTGCAGCTGGAGTAGTTGCATTGAGCAGATGTCGTTTTTTGTGTGAAAGAGTGAGTGCAGTGAAATGAGTGCACACAATGGTGGTGGTTGGTGACAGTCTCAGGACTCAGTATACCACCATTAGTGTAATGGGTCTGGTGAGGATACAATACAAAACAGTACAAGAACATTATTCATACCCAAAGGGGAACTTACTTGTCTGGAATCTCATGAGAAATTCTCTCAGGTTGGACATTTAACAAACTGTGTTCATTCAGTCAGGTCAGAAGAGAGGGTGACATGGTCAAAGTCTCCTGGTATTATTATTGGTGCCTTAGGATACTGAGTCTGTATCCTAGCAACAGTATCATGGAGAATACATGTATAAAAGTATTGTTGGGATGTTACTGAACTTCCTTGGAACATAATATGGGCAAAGAGCAACTGCCAACAGTTCAATATCTGGACAACACTTTGTCTCCTTGACAGTTTTGTGTGAAGAGTTACACCATCTCTGGTGAACAAATAAAGTCAGACCTCCTCCTTTCTTCTTGCCACTAGCTTTAGCATCTCTGTCTGACCTTATGAGAGTGAAGCCAGGTAGATCCACACTGGAGTCTGAGTTGTTTTGATTCAACCAGGTTTCAGTAAAACACAGGAGACTGCAGTCATGGCCCGCTTTCCCAGTCTTCACCGATATCTCCAGCTCATCACTTTTGATGGGCAGAGAGTTGATATTTCCCACAATGACTGATGGAAGAAAGGCTTATACCCTTATTCCCTAGTCTTCAACTTTGTCTTCACTGACACAGCAACCATGAAAACAATTCCAGATGTCCTTTGGAATTGGATGTTGTTGTTCAGATTTGCTCTGTCTCAATGAAAGAATCGCAAACTTCTCTCCCTAAAGAAATATCCATCAGCATCCAACAGAACACAACAAAAACACGAAAAATAGAGCAAAAACTGCAGAAAATTTAGAGAGACCAGACTTTGCTGCTCCTTGGTTAAGCCCAGGTTCTGGTAAAAAATTAAAAACAGTTTCACCGCAGAGCTGTCTGCAGAGGCAGCAGCTGCTATGAATGATGATCCAGAAGCTCTTTGAGTCTTTATCCTACTCCATTTATTCAAAGTAAACATTTGGGGTCAGAATCGAAATGGCAGAGCTGGTGCTGGTTTGCAACAACTGGGAACTTTTAGCTCCTATTTTCTCCTTAAATAAAAAAATCCATTTCACACACACAGTCTTTGTGATGGTTGTCAAGAGGATGAGTGGCTTCATAAAACCAAGCGCCAACAGGGGCTGTGGTGATTTGAGATGAGCTGTATCGATCTTGGCTGTCTAAGCACACAAGTAGAATTGATAGGGCTATAACGCCATTCCTGTGGAGCTGTGTGTGTGTGTCTAAGTTTAGCCCGAGCCACCAGCTTAAAGCATGAGTCATGCTGTCAACAGAGGAGAGAGATCCCCCATGGTTAGTTACTGCTGTGATGGCAGCCATTATTATGACTGTGCCACACACAAACACACAAGCAATAGCAGTGAGCCTATATATTTGGCTTTTATTAAACCCAAGTCTGTGCTATCCTCCTCCGATCTGCAGGTCAGAGCAGTCTGATAAAACACTTATAAAACAACTTATAAATCCTGCTGCTGTAAACAAACAGCTTAGACTGCCAGGAGTGAAAAGGTGAAAAACCTCCTCCATTTTACAGAGAGCAAAAACTCCAACAGCGTGGTCCAAGAGCAGACTTTCAAATAGCCAGGTATACAGATTTTTTTTTTTGTGTGTGTGTGTGTGCATGCTCGAGAGTGCATGGACAGTAAGTCCATATTTTAATGGCAGAAAAACACCAAACACAAAAGCCCTTTTAGAAAGTCGTGCAAGCTGATATTTAGACAAAGAACGTCTACTGGGGCATGCACAGATTGTGTCTTACCTCTCTTTCTTATCCAGCCCTCTTACAAATAAAACTGCCTATGCTAAATACCTAATTCTGACTGTTCAAAACCCCAAAACAGTGGTTAATAAATCTGAATACTTCCACTTCCCCTCATGACCTGATCAATAAAGGCCACAAATAAATAAATAAATGAATAAAAAGTGTTTAGAGAAGAGTACCAGGTATGTTGGTTGATGCACAGCACACAAACATAACCTTAGATTTTCAAGCTTAAACTCTTTTGGACTCAAAGGAAGATATCTGTTCAAAGTCCTGATTTAAAGAACTAACAGATAATGTGCTTCACTGAATGGCAAAGAAAGCAGCACACAGTGCAGTAAATCACAGCTCGAGCCAAAAAGTTGACTGTCTGTAACACAAGTCCCATAAATGATGAGGCAAACAGCCAATCACAGTGTTGGATATTGGGGTGTTTCACTAAATTTCGGAAGGGAGGGAAGTGACGGCTGGGACAGGGACACCCCCGGCTACACCCTGAATCCCCCCATGACACCTGCATTCTGATGTTATTGAGACAAATAAATAAATAAATAGTCCACAAGTCCCAAACCTCAAGTCTAAATCAAGTCTCAAGTCATGTTAGTATTTGACTTTAGAGTGACTCAACCTCAACTTTAATGCTGCGTTCCAGGTACCTCAGAAGTCGGATGTCGAACCTGGGAATGATGTTACACCTGAGTTGACGGTGTTCCAGTAAACAAGTCAGAAAACCAAGATGGACGCCTACTGTTAGCCGTTGTTAGCTGTTTTTTACAATTGTCAGCTATCGTTAGCCGTTGTCGGTTGTTGTTAGTTGTTGTTAGCTAAATGAGTTGTAAACAACGCATAACACAGTATTTTACTCTTACAAACACCGTAGCACCATGTTCACAGTTAGATGTTGGGCAGTACATATTTAATTTTACAAAAACAAGACAGAAGTGCCAATAAATAATACATTATGAGAGCTTTCACTGCTACTCTTTACTGTTGATGCACTGTGCTGCCATCTTGGATTATGAGGTTGTCATCAAGTCGGGGTTGGTGAGGATCATCCGACTTTCCGAGTCAGAAATCCGACTTCAGGGGGGCGTTCTAGATGAATTTCCGACTCGAAGTTTAGAAATTCCAAGTCCCCCTCCTTAGCCCATAATGTTGTGAGGCTACGGCCACTCTTTGCTTTGCCATTTTCTTGTCATAACCAGGCTGTGCTGAACCACGTTCTGGTCTGATTGAATAAAATTCCTCAGTCTGTCTCCAGATATTTTATTTCCATCGGTAGAAGGCCCACTTTCAGGAGCTAAGTAAAGGACTTTGAAGAAAACAAACACAGGTTTTTAGGTTCTACTGAAAAGCTGAATAAAAAGAAGGTGCGAAAACTGTGGAAGCAGGTCTGTGTCAAAGAAAAGTGTTGAAATTAAAAGAGCTCACACAAATCTGTTAAAGACCTTTGTCTGTTGAGCAGGAAATGTCATTATGGCTTTCAATTAGGTTCGTTAATTTCCAAATGGTCTAATAGAGCAGGCTGCCAGGCTCCAGTATCAGGTCATGAGTTAAAAATAACTCCTGTGGACCACAAATCAAGCTTCACTAGACAGCTGACTGATGTAACCTGAGAGGTGGTTACCTTGAATAACCCATGAAATAAATGTATGTTTGCAGATCTTTGTGGCTTTAAACCAAAAATTAAATCCATGTAAAATACTGACCCGACTGCAGTTGTTGGCTTTGGGCTCCAGCTCAGTCACCTTAGTGATCTGCTTGAGGAAATCAGATTCCTGCATCCCCGGCTGGGAACCACGACGCTTGAATTGTGCCCGTGGGTTTGCAAGAATCACCTGGAGGTTCACAGCAAATCCTGGTGGACAGGGCAGAGGAGGGTAAAAGGCAGAAAAAAGGGTGAGAAGGTCATTCATGGATTAAAAACACATTATCAGTCTATTACAATCAGAGCAGAAAATGATAAGAGAGCATTAGTGAATCTAATGACCGTGAAACAGCTGATATAAAATTCATTTAGCAAAAGAGTTCGCTCATTCTCCCACCATGATTGAGCTTCAAACGAGAAGGAAAGTCAGAGGGAAGTCAAAACCCTCCTGATGCAGCAGGGGTGGAGATTAATGACTGCTGCAACCAGATTAAATCTGCCTGATTAGAAAAACTGTGACAGAGGGAGAAAATGTGGCACAAGAAGAAATGAGCTGTCCTACAAACAGAAATAAGACTGACGGCTGAAAAGAAGCTCTGACTCTGAGATCATTCCTCAGAACATTTCTCAAAAAAAAAAAAAAACATCATTTCACTTCGTACATCGTATACAAAAATCTACATACAAAAGCTGAATCCTCTACAGCCAATCATGATAGAAAGTAATCTGCAATGGTAACCTTATCCTATCTTATTGTGAAATAGTTTCCTGCAATACTTTAGATGTTTACACTAAATGAAACACACAAGGATAATAAATGAGTAAATAACCTTCAGAAAATTATAAAGAGGATAAATAAATGAATGCCCAAGTCTTCATGAACAGAGCGGAAATAGAGTATTTGCTAAAAAGAAACCCAGACCCTCACGTTTATACTGTGTGTTACCTGTGCTCAGGGGCTGTGGTTCCACTAAAACCAATCATTTACAGGCATATATTCAACAAAAAGAGCGTAGGATACAGATGTTGTTACACCTAAACTGCGTAGGCTGAATGTCAAAGTTACAGTTTGACCCAGAAAAGATTTAAAACCTGATTAACGTTTTGTGTTTAAGTTTATCAATCATTCTGCTTAGTTGTGTGTCCTTGTTTCCTTTTGGAAAAACACGTTATGAAAACATCTTCAGTGTGCCCCCCACATTTTTATACTTAATGCATTGAGCCCTGTCTTTTTGTTATGTAAAAGTGCTTTATTTTTATGACGGAGGGGATCCATCAATACAGAATTATGAGATGAATATATATTTACATATCTCCTTGTTCTTCGCAAAAACAGAGTGAAGTGTCATTGATAAAATTTCCCCTATATTTAATATCATTGTGACCAAAGCTTTAGGAGCTTCAAGTGTCCAGGTGCAGAGATACTGAAGGCTTTTGCTGTTCTAGTTTTGTTTCAGCAAATTTAAAACCAACTCTCTGTGGAGGTTTTCTTTTTTCTTTTTCACTTTGGTCAAACTTTGGTTGTATGTGCGAGTGGAGAACATGTCCTTCACACATCTGATGTGTTGTCTGACCCTTAGCCAGAGGCTTAAAGGTGACCCACCATGGCTTCCATTTATGTTTTCCCCTCGCTCACCATCACCAACACTTTAAAGAATAACAAGATTCAAGGTTTTTACTGTCAATTTCTGCCATATGTGATATTAAAAAGAATCAAAAAAGATTTTCTCTCCAGCCTTTGGTGCAGAAATAAAGAGAATATTCAAAAATACAAAATAGGTACAATAGAGAAGAGTATACTACAGAAGGAAAGGAGTATATGTATGGCCCCATTTACCATCATGCTTGTTTATGCACATATACACTCATATACACCTGCACTCTATACATACACATGCAAACATAATGGCCAGAAAAATGATTTCTGCTGTACATATTTTCACACGACCTAAGGTGCAGGTGGTGGATGAATCTGCAGCATTGCTTTCATGTAAAGAGCATGTTGTCAGCATTCATGCGAGCTGTGGATTTGCAGTGCAACAAAAAACTGATTATGTTTGTATGGTGCAAATACTATGTGTCCAGTGAGGGTTGAGAGGGGGTTCAGAGTCCACAGTTCTGGGGGGAAAAGGGGGAAGTAGCAGGAAGGGGAGAGGGTTCAGCTTCCTGACAGCGTGGTGGATGAATCTTTATGGTTTCTCACATGTGCAAACTCAGCCTTAGGTTAATCTAAACCCTTAAAATAACATAACAGTCCTGCATCAATGTTCAAGGTTTGTCTTAAAAGCGCACAACACAGGTCATAATGTCCTAATCCCTTCTGTCACATGTAAGCCGAGCTGTCAAGGTTAAATTCACTTTTATCTTCACAGGTCTGGTTTTTATCCTCAGTATCGTCTCCCTAGCGACCACATGCTATGGCCTCAGGACCACCACTGGGCAGAACAAAAAAAATCCCATCAACACCTTCTCTGGCCTTCATTCTGCCAGCTGAGTAACTTCTGCTCTCAGCCCTTCTGCTCAGTCAGCAGACCTAGCATTCATGGCGGCCCTGACAGATGAACGCTCTGAGACCTCGAGAAATAAAAGCAAACAGCCAGAATGAGCTTACTAGAAAAAGAACAAGGAGACAAAGCATACGCAGCATTCAGGAGACATGCTGGAAATACGTAACCACGACGACAATTGTACAGTAACTTTACTAAACCTGCCGGACTCAAGTTTAATGTGATATTTGTTATTTAATCCACAACTGCACGGGTACAGAGGAAGAAGTGTCGACAGACAGCCTGCAGAGGAATCATTTAGGCGAACCCCCCGAGTGCCACAGTGTTATTCTGCAAGGTCAAGCATTGTAATGATAATGAGATATTGTCTTCTGTTCTTTTAGTCATTGTAAAACTGCGGATGATTGTCAAAACTCATACGCTTGATTATAAATGACAGTAACATGAAGGATTTTGTCTTTGGGTTAATGAGGAAAACTTGTTCTGATGTTCATGTCAAACTACAGTCTGGTCCATCCAAATCATTTCCTTAAATGCTTTATTCAAGATTGAAGTAAGAAAACACAAGAGTGGTTATTTCTGATCTTGTGTTCAAAAAAATAAAGTCAGAATTTTTCTATTTTTCAACATCTTGGTCAGCTTTGATGTGTAGATGACATTGCACAAATCAGAGAGGCAGCAAAGGTTTAATTCAAATAGACTTTAAACACAGTGTAATTGAAATAGTTCCGACAGTTTTGAACTGGTACATGACTACAAATTAATACAAACATGCTGAAAAGAGCAAACTTTGGTTTGAATGAAGCATGCAGATTATAATCGATGGGGTAAACATTAGTGCAGTCCTTTAACACCTCATTAGGAAAACATTAGTCTGAAGGTGTGATTTTTTTTAAAGAGAGCAGCATCTCTCTGAGGGATGCTAAAGTTTTTATTTTAGACGGTGTCGGGAGGATGTTTTCAGAAAGTGCTGCAAACATCTCCACACAAGGTCTCTGCGTAATTACTGAATATTTATTTATGCAAATCTTTAGTGGGTGGCACTCCTTTCGCAATCAGAGCACCAGTTTGGGAATTCAACCTCAGTAATTCGTCGTCCTTATTTCCTCTCCTCCTTCCTCTCCCTCTCCTCCTGTCTGAACAGAGTTTTCTGGGCGGCCTCTTTCTGGAGGAGCTGACACAGACTCAGACAGTGGTCCTCTGAGTACTGAAGGTGTCAGTTTGGGTCACCCTTAGAGGAACTGTGGACATAAATTTGGGTTTTGCTCATCTTTTCCTCCAAAGGTTTAAGTCTGTTGCACTTAAGGCAAGTCAGCCGTCGCAAACAGGCCATGCTGAGACTGAGAGCCATTTCAAAGAGCCGTACAGAGCCGGTGAGTGATTGAACTATCACGCTTTTTACTGATTTGGCAATCAGTCAGCTGACACAGGAGAATGAGATTCTGTTTGTGGCTGCTGAAGCCAAGAAAACAGCCAGGGAGACCAGATCTGGGGTCTGGCATGTTTTCAAATTCAACATGTTCACAGTCACTTAACATTGTCAGAAATGTTTTTTCTCATCAAACAGAATCACTGAATTGTTGGATTTCTAAAATGCAAAACAACATGAACAACGTGATATCGAGCATTATTGGTATTAGCTGCTGAAAAAACTGATATCTACTAGTTCACATAACCTGATGGGAAATAGGATAAGCGTTAGCTGTTGCGAGATCTCTGAGGCTTTTTCAACTGTGGAGGTGTGAAGTTCATTTTGGGACAGACAGTTGCAGGACTGGTTGTGTTGCGTTATAACAGACCTATCAGAAATTTGCACAACTGAACATCATAATAATAAAAGAGACGGCAGGTTCCTGGCCTGGCCTCACCTTCTTTATTGATTTGCCTCATGGATGTGAAACCTGAAGCTTTAGAGCCCGGGGGGAGCAATGTGATCACTCTGCTGCTTTCTAGTTTTACATCCAAGCATACAATCAATTTTTATCTAGGTTTCCTGCGTGTATTTTTCTGCTCTTTTGTCTCTGTTCACTCTCATGGCTTTGTGATTCAATTTTTAACAATAGACATTAAATTAACACACAAACAAGTAGCGCCCAGGACGGAAACAGTCAAAGGCACAAAAGCAGTTGGATATTAGAATTTGAGATATCAGGTTTCTGTTTAGTTTTCATCAATGGCAAAGAGAGGAGTAAACATGAGGAGAAAAGTGCCACAGTACCGCCCACACCATTTGACTGAGGTGTTAAGTGAAAAACAGTCAGTCCATCAAAGGTTCCTTGACTGAACTGCGCATGTAAACGTACTGACTAGAAACAACAAAACTGCATCGACAAATCCAATTCTTTGTTGAAAGGTCAACTGGATTTGTTTAAGGTTCTTGAAGACATTCCACCTCTTTTCCAAAAGTCTTCTTCAGTTTGCAAACCAAAGTTGGAAATTCATAGCCTCTGTTGTTATCCAAACACAAAGTTGTTAATCACGACTTTTTTTTTTTTTTTGCTTGTCAAATGCTTGTCTGTAATATGAAAAATATCTAATAAACACAATGTTAAAAAAATGATAATCTTAGAGTGATTCAGGGTTCTGTTATGCACACCAGCATGTGTCCATGGATTCTAAAAAGGTGTGATAAGACACATATAGGAGGCCTGTTCTTGGGGTGAATTTGTAGTTTTTTGTCAGTCCTCAAATACCCTTTCTTCAGTTGTCCTCATCCTCTCCTGTTGTGGGGTCAGCCTGACATACAAGTCCAGGTTTCTCAACATGCTAACAATATTTCTCAAGAATCACAGACCCCACCTTTAACTTATATGTTCCTACAAGTAATATCTTCCCAGTGATTTCTCCTCCTCTACCTTTCCCAACACTAGCGTGCAGGAGGCATCTCTTTGTTCTCCATCTCACTGCTCCTCTCATCTCAGGAGCTGAGTACCAGCACCGGGGTTACTGTGGGTTAAACACTTTCATGTCCTTGTCTCAGCCAACACTCCAAGGACCTAAGCGCCACTTCAACATACCAACCAAAGGTACAGACATCTTTGTGTTTGTGTGTCAGTGTGTGTCAGAGTATGCATGAACCCCGTGTGTGTGTGAGAGTGTGTGTTGGCTGTCTCTGCACACTAATACTCAATCAGCCTGTTTTTGCGAGGATGCGGCTCTAATTTGCTTCTGGAAAATTGCATGTGTGCGCCTGTGTGTGTCCTTGAACACGCACACTTGTCCACTTATACTAGTGTGAGTGCTGGCAGGTGCCTGCTTGCGTGTCTCTCAAATAGATGCAGTAATTGCATGTGTGTGTGTGTGTGTGTGTGAGTGTAATCAGACACACACATTGAGGTGAATAATACTCCACACCATCATTGTCCTGGCTCCGCTGTGTCTGCATAAATGAGACAGAGGAGTAGATGGGAGACTAACAATGCAGTGCTGTATAACACAATACTATGAGGACAGGCACTGGCTCTCACTGAGCACTCTGCAGACACACCATTGTAAATCTCATGAATAATAATTTATGAGTGAATAAAGTTCAGGGCCGTCCGTTCAGAGCAGACATTGTTTTCTTGCAGGATTTAAAGTGGGAAAAAAAAAAGCTTCACAATACAACAGCCACAGCTGTGAATCTTAGCTTTACACACTGACAGTGTAATTATGAAGGGCAGCATAAGAGTGAGGCTGATTATCACACTGTGTGTTAATGTGTGTGTGTTTGTGTGTGTGTGTTTACACAGAGAGAGAGGTCAGATGAGTGGAAGGAAGTAGAGGATGGGAGGGAGGAGATCCCAATCGCGTTGGTGTATGGAAGTTGGAGGAGAGAAAACTAAACAATAGCTCTTGGTATCGTGACTCAACACTTCTCCCTGAGGCAGACCTTTGTATGTGTGTGTGTGTTTGTGTGTGAGACAACATTATTCAAGTATTGAGCCCAAATGTGAAACCTTTTTCTCAACGTTTTGACTCAGCCTCAGCCTGCGGACCGTCTATCGTCATTGGCAACCAGCTCAAGTTGCCCGATACGATAGACTATGTCAACCTGTGAGCCTCAGGCCAGGCCCACAGCAGAAACCAATTCACACATCAGTGACTGCTCTGATTCTTCTGTATAATTCAGTCACTGTTAGAGGAGTTTGATTCATGTTAAAACACTGACTCTCAATCAAAATCCTCATCAGGGCTATGGGGCAAATGCATTAAGGCACTGGCCCCTATACAATATTATAGGAGCCCCTGTACAATAGTATGGGGCCCCTATACAATGGGCAATGTAAGTTATAAAAAAATATCGAAAAATTTTGAATTAAAGTCAATAAGACAAGCCAAAGAAAGAGTAATTATTGGTGTTTTTGCTCTGGCTTTGTATTGTTATGTTTATTTTTTGTATGAATACTTGAAAAATAAATGATTGTTGTAGGTGTGCTCCTTGAAAATTATATCCCAATGTTACTAGTATTGATCATCTGTAATCTCTAAAGAATCTCATTTCTCAGAGGGAATTTTTTAGTTACCGTTATTTGACTGTTTTATATTGGATTCATGTTATCAGTATTAGTATTCACCATAAAAGTACCAACTTATTTCGATTTAAGGTTGATTCAATGTTTGACTTCTGAATTCAGTCTCCTTTTTTTCCCCCCACAGTCCAGGGTGGGTGGTGCCCCCATTAACGAGTGCATAGATGTCAGATTTAAAGATTATTATTGAATATTAGTCTGAAGACATTTATTACAAATTCAAATCACTACATCTGCAATCCAGCTGGCTTTCAGACGCAAGCCTCAGCACCAGAGTATTATAGCTCCAGGCAGTGGTAGTACGGCTCTCTTCAGAGCTTGTGATTCGAGTGTAAGATTGAAGATTATCTGTGCATGTGGATAACTCACTGACCCTTGTTGTCCCTCTTTTTCTTCCCAGTGCCTCACTCCTCACCTCATGCCAGCGCACAAACCCAGAACACTCAGTATGTTTACATGACACTCGAGAAAACTGAATTACTGAATTGATTATTACTTTTTAAACCCAAGCCATCAATTCCCTAGCTAGCACTTTTCTTCAACTAAACTTTTTATCTGATTTTGTTATCTAATGTTTACGGACAAGAGATTAACACAGACTGCATCACTGTGAAAAACTGACTTTGAGAGCAAACACTACTGCTCTGTAAGGAAGCAGCAGTCATAGAGGGACAAAAAACACTAAACAACACAACTGCAGGAAAGACAAATTAAAATTTCTAATCAGGAGTTGAGAAGGTGATCTGAAATATCTAAAATTCCTCACACATACATTGAAGGCCATACTTATTTAACTTCCATACCCAGGGAGTCTGACCGAGACTAAAAACATAAACAGGTGAGTTTCTGCTCGTCTCAGACTTTTGCTTTAAAACCACAGGGTTCCTTCAGCTCTGATCAAATCTAATCTGTTGCTTTTCAGAAGAGTCTTATACCTCAGGACTCTGCAGCCCTGCTTTGTGCTTTATCCGAGGAATAAACAATCAGGCGGGGTGGCACAGGAGCTGCTGCGTGGAGGAATAACTGTGGGAATATTAAATTGGATAGATCAGATCTTATTTTATGGTAAATTTATCCATTAAATGGAAGCTGGATAGAAAAACTGTCTCATGTCTTCAGGTGAACACAGCAAACAGGAATAAGAGAGAGAGAGAGAGAGAGAGAGGGGGAAGCCTCTGTTTGTTCTCCCTCTGATAAAAGGCATCAGACCTAAACAGTCCAACTGACTTTATCTCTGCAGTAATCAATGAGGTGATCTATAATGTTGTTTGAAGTTTCTTTTTCAGAGGGTTCAGGACATAAAAGAGAAACATTTCTGATCAAAGCAAGCGCTACCAGCTTTTGACCATCTCTTTTTTTTCTATTTCACTGCAAAGGTTTGACCTCCAGATGTGACACGAATATCTGATTTTTTTACCACTGAAATAAATTGTTTTAACAGTCGATTGTGTGAGAAACAATAATGCAAGAGCAGAGAGCTGATTTCTAAACCAAATAAAACATTTTGTCCTGCAATAAAATGGTACTGGATCTTATTTCCATTAAGCTCAAGCTGAACTATGATCCTAACTACATTTGAAATTCATGAAGTAAGGGTCATCTCAAGTTTACTGACTTTGTGGCAGAGTTTGGGTGGACTTTTTTTCTGCTGGCCATCTGTTATTTTGCACGATCCTGGTCGTGTTGAGCTACTATCGGACTGAACACTCTGAATGGCCAGTTGCAACACTGACTGACACTCTCCACACACAGAGGATTTCATTTGTCCTCAGCAGCAGGTTAGAACAATCAAAAAGATTTGGAAAGCATTGATTTTACATAAGGAAAGGTCTCAGTGTCTAAAAGTGGACCTTATAATCCCTAAATAAGCACTACACTGGGTTTGCGTTGGGAGGGGGGTGTTGTTTTGTGTTCATGTGCCGTTTACTGTAATTGTTTTTAAGATTACCTTGTTCTGTATCTTTTTTATAACTATATATATATGAAAAAAAAGCTGTATGATTGGATGAGATCAAATTAGACATGGATTTATTTTCTAAAATAATGGCTTGCACATATATAAATATATATATATAGCATCCAGCATCTTTAAATGTTATCTTGGATCTGTTGTACCTTTTGAGGCCCTGTGAGGGTTGGATTGAATGGATGTATGGATGATGAATAAACAGATGGATAGGTCAGCTCTTGGGTGTGCAACATTAAAAAGCCTGAAGTCACATTTATTAGAGTTATAACACAAGAGGTATCCTACTGGAGGTTCCTCTTACCTGCCATGTCTGTGGCAAAGGGTCGGTCTGGTCTCCAGCCGGTGTACCAGCCCACAACTTTACCCCCCGACACAAGGGGGCGCTCATATGCTCTGCCTCCTACAAATCCAACTGGCCAAATAGACACGCCTCGAGTACTTCGCATCTGCAAGGTAGAGAGAAGAAGATTAGAGGTCAACCTAGTTATTCTGCACAGTATGAATCCACATTTAAGCCTTTATTTTTATTATCATATTTTTCAAGCATAAAGGTGTTCAACAGAATTTAAATTCTGACTGACAGACTTTTAAGACAAAAGTCATAAAACAGTCAAGATTGAGCACAAATTATGGAACAATACAAAGACTCACAGCATTAAACCATTAGCAGAGCTAGCACCACCAGCCTTCAGCTCTCCTTACAGGTGAACATCTACAGGCCTGTGAAGGCTAATTATGGTTAAACATAAGCACTAACTGAAGCTAGCAGCAAGTGGCAATGAGGCAATGATACCACTCAGACACAATATGTCTGACCATATATGACCAGAATTTCTGACCTACAATAATGACCAACTTAACCACTGAGCCACAACTGCCCTGAAGATTAATATGTAAAGATGTGGTTACAAGGACAGGCAACTGGACTGTGTAGAGTCTTCAAGAAAACCATGACCTGGATGAATGAGAATCTACATGGACTTACAAGGACAGGGCATTTTTCAATGCCACAAAAAAGTGATGTGAAAAAATAAATATTTAATTTAGCTTTCATGCCACCATCTGCACATTTAGTTTATTGAGTTTCCATAACAAGATGAACCAGACATTATTCAAATTAACACTGTTATAAATATGTAGTTTGTTTGTCAGCCTTTTGGCCCTTTGAAGAGAAAAAAAAGGATTGGGTTTTTACCACTGTAGTTTTCCAGACTAAAGCAAACTAGACACAGTGAAGCTCACAGCCACTCTGACAGATGGACAGACACCCTGCAGCTGATACAAAAGTAAAGACACTTCAGCACAAAGTTAACTCAGAGGACTCATGCTGGTGTCACTGAAGGCAGTTTCTGGGTAAAGCGCTGTAATGCAAGAACTTTTTCTTTGTTTTTGTTGTGAATGACCAAATCTTTGGTTTCTGTTTCATCATTGCAAAAGCTACAATGATTGATGCATTTTCCAAATTTGCTTCACTTTTGGTCTGGACATTTGTAATAGAAACAACTCTGTCCAACCCAAGGCTGTCCTTATAGCGATGACATGTTGGGGAGGCCCTTTGAAATATTCTTATATAGTCTTATATTTTTGCTCTGTTGATGTTATGAACCAAAGCCTGATATAATTAGTCTGGCAGAACTCTCTGACCAATGACTGGCCTATGATGGCCAAACATTTTAGTGATTAAAAAGTCAGTCAACTGACTGGTGTCATTAGCTGTGTTTACTTGGGCACAAATAATCAGAATAAATGCCCGATCGGAATAAAATGTGTCATGTAAACATGTCGATCGGAAGATTTTGATCCATTTCTGCTCAATCGGACAGTCGGCAGTATTCCGATCGAGGGGGTGGTTAATGCCAGTCGTTATTCCGAAATGCGTAAACACTTATTCCGATCGTGACTCTCTTACCTGACTCGATCTTCACTCTTTATTTATTAAGGCCAGTACAGGAGGTTTCATTATTAACACTCTGGCATAAAACAAAACTGCAGGTGCCGTGTCTGCTCCTCCAGTAACAAAACAATGTGTACAAACAACGTATTGATGTCACATCTGCACGCACAGTGCAACCTTTGACAGAACAGTAAAATAAGTATGCAAGGACGCCATCTAGTGACAACATTAAACGGGGAAAAATCCTGAATTGGATAGAGTGAGCCACTACCGTGTTTGTTGGTTTGTTGACAGCACAGGCGTAAATACAACTCTTCTTCTGTGGTTGTTTTAGCGAAATCAGACAACTCCTTGCATGTCCAAATGCTTCACATCTGAATAAAGCTTGGTGCATGTACACGCATGTTGTGATCAGATTATTTGATTTTGCACCAATATAAACAGTGGATTCAGATTATCCGATCGCTCAAATTTTTAACTTTTGCCCATGTAAACATGGCTATAGACTCTTACATTAATTTCTTGTGTGTCACTCCACATGAGTGATCAGAAGTCTGTAATCTTACCTGAACCCTGTCTGAGACCAGCACACAGGGACTGTCTGTCTAACTGAATCCAGGACCAAATGAAACTGTGCTGTGCTGAGCATACGGCTTTTTCCACAGTGAATGAATTTGCACACAGCCTGGAGCAGAGCAACAAGAAATGAGACAAAAGACGGAGAGGAGACAGTGTGAGGATGACTGCTGTTGTGTTGCAGTAACAGAGCACTGTATTAAGTATGAATGTGTGTGCGCAAGAGTGACAGAGGGATTCTATTTTTCTATTTTCTATTTTCCAGCCGCGGCCGTTCTGAAGCCCGCTCATTCAGGTGCCGCTCCTCATCACTCAGTCAAACAGCCTGCAGCCGCTTGCTCATGACAAAACAGCAGAACAAAACCAAATCAGACGGCAGCGCTGCATTACGGCACTCAGACTTCACAGAGAGTTCACACCAGCTTTTAAAGCTGCAGAAAACTAAGTGTAGGGAAAGGATTATAAAATGCAGAAGAATCATAGCTCAGAGGCAAACTGTCTGAGGGTCTGTGGAAATGTAAAATTACCAGAAAGACAAAAATTTTGTTGGGGAATTTTAAGAGAAATTTGTCTTTTTCAAATGAGTTTTGGTCTTAAGAATATAACAAGTGACTGCCCACTGAGAGTCTACTTAGGTGAGAAAAGGTTCCTGTTTATGGATTAGCGATGAGCAGATCTGTCAGTCTGTTATTGACATCTTCATTAGAGGACGTCTACCTCAAGTTAAGTGCAAATTAAGCCACCAGCTCAGTGACATGAGCTAAACTGCAGACTGAGAGATACTGCAAGAAATGGTACTGCATAATGCTCAAAGTACAGCAGTAGAAGCTTTAAGGTGTTCTGTAATCCATCCTGTACGACAGAACTGTGACATCGATAAGCCAAAACTATTAACAGTCATTAATTTTACTTGCTGATTTCATTTTTTGATCATTACATCAACTCAACTCAACTTTATTTATAGAGCACTTTAAATACAACCAAAGCTGACACAAAGTGCTGTACATAATAAAACATAAAACAACAATAAGTAGTTGTTTTAAAATATAATAAAAAGCAGTGAAACGAATGATGCCTCATGCTGGGTTGAAAGCCATGGAATAAAAGTGGGTTTTTAGACGGGTTTTAAAAAATGGTTTTAACTTCAGTCATTTTCAGTTCAGTCCATAACTTTAGTCTTGAGCAGAAGTCTGAGACATAACTCACTGACTGGTCCTTTCACTGAAATATGACAGACTACATCCTGCCACGATTGAGGTCAGAAAATTTGATCAATTTCTCGGCTCAGGTGCTATTTTGTCCCTGTCAGCATACCGTAGTTTAGCTACCTGCTTCTTGTTTTCTTTTATGGTAAATAATGACACCACTGCCCTTTTGAGTAGCACAACTTAAACAGTGACTCTAAGGCAGTCTTCATACAGAAGCATTAAGTGGGTGTATAACCTCATGTTCTAAGAGTCTGTTTCCAATAGTGATGGATTGTGAAATGTATCGTCTATGGCAGGTTGTTTTCTGGAGCGCTTGACTCAACATCAGCTCAAAGCAATCATAGGACTAACTTCCCTTAGTATTATGGGCACTGCTTATTGTCATCTGGCCTAGTGACCAGTCCTTTGTTTGTTTTCTTGATTGCCAGAAAAGTGTCCCACTAATCCAAGAAAACAAGCTTTGTTATCTGGAGGAAATGAGAAAAACAAGGCGAGATCTCAAGATAAGATAAGATAAACCTTTGTTCATCCCACAGTGGGGAAATCTGGGGTGTTAACAGCAGCAGCAAAGGATCAGCACACCTAACATATAAGAATAAGTACACTCATCACGCACACATTGCAAAGATAATTATAAAAGATAACTTAGAACAATACAAAAAAAATGTTATGTACAAAAAAAGAGAAAAGCCTGTTACTGAGGAAGCTACCCACTGCTGTTACAGTGCTCTGCAGTGGGTGGGAAACATTGTCCATGAGAGACAATAGCCTAGCCATCACCCTCCTGTCCCCCACTACCTCCACAAGGTGCAGAGGGCAGCCCAGGACAGAGCTAGCCTTCCTCACCTGTTTGTTTAGTCTGTTCCCCAAACGGACAAGAGCTGCTGTAACTGGCAACCCCTCTGTGTGTCACCAGAGACGTCCAGAGAAGTTTTAAAACGGACCTGCTATATCAACAGAAAACCAGGATTGATATCTCTAGCTAACATGAGACACTTGAAGTCCTCAGAAAACTCATCAGCTTAAAACAACCAGGCTGCGGTGTTTTCTTGAGACCCCAACTTACTTTTCCAGAGTTAATTAAATGTATGGCTGCACGGCTGCTCAGCGCCTCAGTAATGAAGCATTTAAAGACACAGTTCAGCAATTATCTAAGACTAGATCATTGAATGCTTAAGAAATTTCAGCCAAAAAGCTCACTCATTCACATCTTCATATTGAATTTTCATACAGTGATAAATAAATTATTTATTCTGATATTTAAACTAATGCACAGATCTGAACTTGTTATCAAACTCTTGAAGGAAATGTGCAATTTTCTACAGATTTCTTTCTGAAAAACCTCCTGCTGTTATTCTCATCACACAAAAACAGTCATTTTTTAAAATTGTTTCCTGAGTTATGAGACGCACATGCAAATGTTTTAATATACTGGCTGATTCCCTGCTGTGACTGAAGTGATGAGACAACAACAAGAGACTGACATTTATGATTATCTGACTGTCAGGTATCATCCAACAAATACAAAGGCTGGAGATAGTTTTGTCTTTAGAAAGAGGGTGAAATTAACAGTAAGCAACTCTTCCCACCCTTAAACCATCCCCTTCTTTTCTTCTCTTCTTCCCTGGCCTGAAAATGTCCTAAAGGGCCCCTGAGTGACATCAGCAGCTTTGACGCCCCTTCCCCGTTAATACTGTGGCCCCAGGAGTTTCCCTGTGTAACCCTCAAATCCCTCCCTCTGCTTCTTCTTCTTCTACTGCTGCCTCTTCTCCCCTCAGGTCATTTTCAAAGACCTGAGAGGCTTAAAAAAAAGGAAACAGATGAAAAGAGACCGAGAGAGAGAGAGAGGAAAGAAAATCGGGACTGACTCTGCATGTTGGTCAGTCCCGGATCATTCCTGGAGTGCAATCGTTATTTTGGCTTAGTGATGAGGTCTTAGTTTGACTGTTAATGATCCCCTGGTTTGGTTAAGCTCAGACGGCTTCATTTTTTTTCTGTTTCCCTGCCCTACAAAATAGGATCAGTGACACAGAGGCTAAAATTACCTTATATCCTGAATAATGACAAACCAGCTCTGTGGTCTGGAGCTCTGTACTTTTTGCAAATGACTTCAAAAGACACGTCTGGTACCAAATAGGACTGGGACCCACCAACAGCTTTTCATATGTGTGTTGGCAACATTTTTTAAATTTAAATTTGTTTTTGTTGCGTAGAAACATCAGTATCAAGTATCATGTTTTCATGCACAGCTACATCAAGCTACTTATCCTGGTTTACAAACACTGAGCAAGAATCATTATACTGACTGAAGAATGTAAGCCTCTGCTATCTTAGGTAGTGACAGGTCACCTTCAATTACAATTGGATCATCTCCTAGTTGACATATTACATATCAAAATAGCCAGCAACGCAAGAGGCTAGCAGGATGTCACTTTTACAGCTCTGTGTCATTTGTCAAGAAAGTTTAATCTTTTTACACCCCTGTTTTACACCCTGTCCTCATCTGACAGTTAATATATATATATATAAACTGTTTTATTTTTATTGTTTTATTTTATTTTTATTTATTATTTATTTTATTTTATTTTATTTTTATTATCCATCTACCATCCTGTATTTTAACTTTTTGATCATAACTCTAGTGTTTCCTCATTATGAAGTTTCCTTAGTTTCGTGGGTCCTTTTCATTTATCATTTTTCAATTTACCTTTATTTTCAATGTCTTTTGTTTGCATGTTGTAAACCTTGCACATACTGTCTTTTAGGGTTTTATGATTTTCTATTTTCTAGTTTTATTGTATGAATAAAGCTATTCAAATAAAGTCTTATTAATTAAAAACAAAACTGAAACTCTTTCAAACGAGATTTGGTCTTTATCACCTGAAAGTTTGACTTGATAGCATGGTTGTATTATACTCAGGGTCATCATATCTGCACTCTGCAATGTCATTGACTTTTTTTTGCCTCCTAGAAATTACCATGTAAAGCTCAACAACAAACGTCACTTCTGTTCTCTGTCCATGGTGCTGAAATTTCACCAAATACATCAAATGAAAGTTATTTTTTCTCTAGCAAGGATATATGTTTTGTGGAATTGTGAATGTGAATCTCAGTTGAGGTATGTCAGGAGACCACTGATGTCAATAACTTATTGATTATGATGACATCTGTCTTGTACAGATGCTTGTTGAGCTTCTCCATTAAATGATGAAGGTTGTTGGCCAGCTGCTTTGACTGAACGCTTTACTGCTGACACTCTGTTGTCTTTATAGCTCTCAGTTATCCATTATAGCTGGACTGAGGCCAGCCTTCATAGTTATCTGTCTATAAAGTGAGTCTGCCTTTGAGGGGGCAGTGTCAATAGACTCCGAATCGCACTCTGGACCCGACAGGGTATCTTGATGGTGTTTCTGAGAGTAGAAATCACTTTAAAATGACAAGTTAATTTTTGCCCAGACAGACAGCGATGATCAGAGGCAGCAACAATTCAAAGCTGTGATGTTATAGGATAATAAAAATAGTATACCACTGGCTTCCTAGCCTGTTTTGATCTGCTATCAGAGGGATGATTTAGGCTCTGATGCGGCTACAGATGTTGTCTCAGTTTTTTGGTGTCAGCACAGGTCGTCTTATCAACAACATCTCAATGTCAGACTCTTTGCTGAGAGCCAAACAAAGCTGCAGGGTGACAGCGCTTCACCAGATGGTACATTACTCTGCTTGCTGGTGAATGCTTCAGCACATGCTGGTTTTCATGCCACCATCTGCACATAACTGCTGCCACAGGAAAAGTTTGCAAAAACACAAACTTCTATGTCTACCTCATTTGGCAGAAACAGATGAGTTGGATGAGTACTCACAACAGGCTGTTCCCTGGATATGCCCTGTTGGCAGGTACAATAAAAAGTCAGACGAAAAATGTGTCAAGAAAAGACGCAGGGAGAAAAACAAACAAAGTGTCCTCAGTCTTTATTCTGCTCTCTGAGGCTGGCTCAATCTGATCTGGAGAGACACCCCAGATTAGAGTAAACATTCACTATTAATACCTTTTGTTTGATCTAAAAAGTGAACTGGGATCAAAGTAGAAAAATATAAGATAAAAATGCATGGTTGGATGCTAAATTGGATCAAGGTACTTCACACAGGAGATGGTCTATATTCAGGTGAGTTTTCACATGCACCACTGTGAGTCTGAGTGCAGCCACATAGCACCAAAAATTCACCTCCAGTCCCTGAGTCTCACTAATGAGTAGACACGACATGTTGCTCTGCTAAAATTAGGGTTGTAAAATTCCGGGAATTTTCAAAGTTGGAAACTTTCCATGGGAACTAACGGAAATATATGGGAATTAACAGGAATTTGCCGGAATAAATCTGGAATTTAAAAAAATTGAAGGTTGGCCCTCAACAGGGAACTTAAATATAGTTGGGGAAAATATATTGTAGCATAATCTTGGCTAAAACAACCAGATTTAATGCAAGTACACTCTTCCATAAGATGCAAATAGCACAGTGCTTACTATAGGGCTATTGAGGCCACACAATTGATTTATAGATCAATTGTCAAATATTTTGAAGACCATTCCAGTTGTTTAGCCAACTATTTTTCTGTTCACGCCATTGTTCATTGCCATTAATTGTTTTATTTTGTATGGATGTCTGCTTATGGCAAAACAAAAATATTTACATTTATGTTTGGATATGATACAATTTGTATAAATTACCCCCAATTTCCAATAAAGTCCCATAATTCCCATGGAAAGTTTCCAATTTGGAATATTTCCAAAATTCCCCAGCTTAAATTCCTATGGAAAGTTTCTGGAAATTTACCAGAAATTTTCCGCCCTTTTGCAACCCTAACTGAAATGCAAGGTTAAAAAATCTAACAAAAAGTGTGTTAACAAAAGATGCAAAGAACAAACAAACCATTTTTATTTATATTTTTGGGGGCTTGCATTATCAGATCTGAAGGGATCCTGTATGAGATTAATCACCCACTTTTAATACCTTCAAATATAAAACATCCTCTTTTGGTTTGTTTGTTTGTTTGTTTTTTTATATCATTTGTATCTACAGAGGAGCAGGACTCGTTCCTACTGAGGACGTTGTCTTGCATATGCTTACACAGACAAACCAGTAGTAGCCATACATGTTTGAAATGCACCAACAAGAAGAGAAAGGAGGAAGAAAAAATGTTTTGTACACAACAGTTTCTTGTCCTTAAAGGCCACCATCGCTTGTCAAGCTGCACCAAAAGATGTTTGAACGAGGAGTGTTTTAACCTCTAGTCTGACTTTTCAATATCAAAAGGTATTTCCATTTCTACGCTGAACCATTAAGCTAGGATTCATTGAAAGGGTCTGACATTGACTAATTAATCAGCATTTCCTCCTTCAAACTATCTGTACTACCTCTGCTGGTAAAAACCCACAGTCAGTCCAGATATAACCTGAGCAGTCCCGTCCTAAAATAAGCTTCTCTGTGCAGAAATCAGTGAGAGGCAGGTCGACCTGGCAGCTGAGACTGACAGCTTTGTCCTCATGAACCAGTGAGCCGGTTTCTCTCTTTCTGGCTGTTTCCCAGACTCAATCTCTCCTCCTCATTCAGGAGTAAACCGGGAGCGCAAAGTCGATTTTTATTGATTGATTTCATCATCATCTTATGTTTTATTTTACAGGTAACAAAACCAATCTCATACTCTCTCTGCAGTTTTAACACTTACTCTCACTCTGAGCTCCTCTTACTGGAGGAAGATTTTATATCTTTATCTGAAGACAGTCTTATTTTGTTCAAACACCATGGTTTACAGGATTTTAATCCAAGGAGTTGAAGAAGAAAATCAACACAAGCTCAAATTTAATCCTCTCCAGAGAAAGGCTGCTTATTTTGGGAGATGTGTATGTGTGTGCATGCTTTTTTTTTCCACTAAAAAAGTGCAGAAAAATACACTTTCGTAGAGCAACGTTCAAATAGTTGTACAGCGAAAAAGAAAGCCTCCAGTTTCTCTTTCAGTCTGAGATGCAGCTCTTCAAACAATCAATCAATAATAAAAAACTGTCCAAAGGAAGAAAAGAAACAAAAAACAAAGACAAACAACTCTTCTAAAACATACAAAAAATGTAAAAAGAGACGTCCTTCCTTTAAGAAATGTCGGAGTGTAAACAGAGCTAGCTGATCCCGGTTGTTTTGTTTTGCTTCTGGAGAGCGAGGTCGAGGTTCAGAGAAAATATGAGCGCTTCATGTTGCTTCTACAGACCACAATGATCCAGAATCTATCTGAGGGTACAAACAATCTCACAGACAGCTAGAAAAACACACCAGTCTCCCCTCTATGATCAGGTTTGTCATCAGGAACAAACTCTGCAGCTCCTTCACAGGAAGCTGAACTGTAGAGAGAAAACAGCAAAGGTTGCTGTGAGACCACAAAGAGGGATTTTCAGAAGATAAAGGGTTTATTTTCCAAGTCCTGAAGTGGCACGGCTTTCTTTCCTTGGGGTTAGAAAACTCAACAAACTCCACACAATCAGACTCCTCTTCTCTGTCGGGGATGCAGAGACTGATTCACAGCCTGAGGGGGAGGGTCACAGCTCCACCAGAAGATGAATTAAAGATGTTGGTCATTTTTTAATAAGACTGGGAGACCTCTTGAATCACCAGGAACAGTCCCAGAGATACAGCTTATTTATCAGAGTTTCTTAAAGTGTTGGCTGTCAGTCCAAATGTCTGACACAGTTATTCAGTGGCCCCTCTCTCTCGACCTCTTGACCTCTCTCTCACTACCCCGACTCAGCTGCCAGTGGAATGAGAGACTCTGAGCATTCAGGAAAAAAAGGTCACTCAGTAGCTTCTTCTTCTTGGTTGTTAACTCTCTCTTCACTGTGATTACTGGTTTATTCATTTATCAAGCCAAATCATGTCTCATCCCACTACAGTACAGGTATGATAATAAAATAATGATGGCCAATGACAAAAATCTCAACTTTAGTCACTAAATGGTCAATGAAAGTTGTGAAACCTACAGTATTTTACTTAATATGTGGAAAGCTCCCTGTTGTTGTGGGGTTCTCGCTCAAACAATCATAATCGAGTGTAAAAGCACAGGCGTAGCAGAATAACAATAATGGTGATAGGATTTACTTACAGCCAGCCATCCAAGGTGTAGTGCAAAAATATTTACAAAAGTGCAAAAAAATTCTCAAATACTATTAACAAAATGTACAAGGGAAAAAAAGAAAATACCAGCAAGGAAGGAGTTCCACTATCACTCAAGATTCTCACTAAAGAAATATACAAAAAAAAGACCAGCACTACAAAAGGGGGTTTTGCAGTCACTTTCCATACAACAAACTTCAGTCTCAAAGACAGAAAGGCCCAAGAAGCCTTTTTAACCCCCCTAGCCCCTCCCATCAATTACATAAGTTTGAAAAAAAAAACTAATTTATTCACATTTAAACAATTTTTACCATTTTTAACCTCTAGACCTTTTCTGTTAGTTTTTGCCATCTTAACTAATTTTTCACACAAATCAACAGAGAACTAGTTTTTAGGGATTCATGGAAAACAACAAGGGAATTAATTTTTCTTGCATCATGTGACCACTTTGACCCTCCATACCCACCTTTAAACAACACGGAAATCGCGCGCTCTGTTTCCTTATTTGGAAACATGTTCCGGCATGATGACGTGACTTGACACCCGGAAAGTAAGTGAAGTGATGAATGTCTATGTGAATGTTTGTTTAAGTTAACTGATAGAGCTCCAAGTGTGCAGCCTTGGTTACCAAATCCAATAGAAAAGGGTGAAAGAAAAGTAGCGCTGTTTAGAGGACTAGCAACGCTGGCGGGGAGGGAAATGTTTGGCGTGTGTTTGGCGGTATGTGTGGCTCCATGCGCTGCCCGCAGTCAGTGAGGACGCCGCTCCTTCACACCCGCTAAACGTTGGAATTGTAGTGGTATTTCTAATGTTAAAATAGTAGTAAGGGGGTTGATTTTGACCATTTTCATTTCAGGGGGGAAGCCATCCCTCCTCACCCCCCCTCAACTCAAGTACTGACTCTACTGAGCAATAAAGCATCTATTTTGTTCACCTCGCAATGCACAGAGCTCTGTTCACAGGGAAAGTCGTGAATGTTTTTAATGATTTTAGCTGGTATGATATACTTATATGGATAAATTTGGTGCCTGTTATCAAAACAAATTCAAAAGTTTAATGGGTGAATCCGGTAGTTTATTCAGTCTCCTCTATTTATCAGCTTACTCTAAGTTACTCACACAAAAATTCCCTCTCCAAAGCTGCATACAAATCTCGGTGAATTTTCCCCTGCTGAAATCAGTACGGGAGAGTGGGGTAAGTTGAGCCACCCCCTGTTGCTTGGAAATGGTAAAAGAAATTGATCATGTGACCAAATATTTAGGAGATGGGCATCAATTCATGGAGTCTGTGGAGGTTAGAAGCACATGGGTGAAGGGGTCTGACATTTATTTCCAAAAAAAAAAAGAAACATTTTTTACTCTTGAAAGTGAATTTAGTCTGTCATAAGTTTTATTAGAATTGTGTTCAGACCAGAAAAAGATCATTTTAAATTTGTTTTATATATCAATTGTGGTATCTATGAGCTAGTTCAGGGGTAAGTTGAGCCGAGAAAGTAAGTTAGTCTGATGAGAGAATCAGAGTTTCAGTTCATATTGTTGAAATGTGTTACTTTTTCTTTTCACAAATACAGCTGTGAATGTTCTTAATCACTTAAAGGCATTCTCATGTTAAAATGACTTTTTACAAAACAGATTTTTATCAGTTATATGCAGTAATAATAAAAAGAATTATTGTACCAGTTGAATAGTGTGTAATAGATAAAAATACACATGAATGTGAAGAAGTGGCTGTTATTTAGGGAGAGAGAAGGTGAGGGAGGGCTGGGGTGGAGAGTGGGGGGGATAGTCAGGATACGGCTCAACTTACCCCGCTCCGAAGGTCAACTTAAATTGACCATAGGAGACCATTTTTTTGGCATGCTATTTTATCAAGACAGTTATGTTTACACTCATTCGGTTTGCAGGGATGCACAACATCTTGAAATATATGCAGATACACTAGTTAGAGACAAAACTATGATTGCCTTGATGTAGTGATCCGAAAATATGAAAAATGGCTCATCTTACCCCACTCTCCCCTAATGATATCAAAACCCTGTGCATTGACTAAGCTGGGGAAAAAAAAGGTGCAGACAATATACGATTCTCTTCATCTGATCCCTCCACAGCCCCTGTGCCCTCAGTCTCTCTGAAGGATCTGTACAGGCCCGTGTGTTCATTAGTCTCAGCTGTATGGTCTCAGCCAGCAGGACATGTCATGCATTAAGAAAGCTGCTGTCTCACCACAATATGGATATCTTTACTTGAGGGCAGAAACTGTAGTGAGATAACAAATAATTCATCTTTGCCACACATGAAAAATAATCTCAGAGCCTGACGGGTGCACGACAGCCTCTAAATCCTGACAAATTACAGCACCAGCAGCTCCTTCAGAGTACGCGTGCCATTTACAAGTAAACAAAAGAAATAAACAACAAAACTGAGAAGAATCACATTTCATCTGACTCGCAGCCAGGACAGCGTGTCTGGGAGCTACGTGGCTCAGTTGAGTAATCAACTCTGACTTCCTCCCCGCAGACAAATAGGTGAGCGCTGGATTGTGTGTACACACAAAGAGACTCTTAATGATGAAGTATATGAAATCCATTATGGATGTTCTCGTTTCCTGCCTTCTGCCCTGCAGAAAGAGCCGTTATTGTGTTGTTTGCGCACCAGGACGAGTGTTTTTCGGGTGGCTGGGCAGGGTGTGATTTTAATCAGGCATATTTTTATCTGTGTGTTATTAATATGCATGGCAGAGGCAATCTGAGAAACGGAGGGAAGAAATGAGCTGAGGGAAAATGAATGAATCAAATTAGAGAGAGCGGGGACGGCGATGAAGCTGTGATGCAACAGAGCATGAGGTGTGTGTAGGCTGATTGCTTTATGATTCTTTGTGAAAAACAAAACAAAAGATGAAGGTGTGTGAGGACAGGGTGTGTTTTGTACGAGTGTGGGAAGAAACTTTGTGTATTTCTCTGAGAGTAAAATCTTTACTCAAACGCCAGTGTCACAGAAAGTGTTTCTTTCCAACAGAGGATCCTGAGCGGCTCTCAGCAGTGCATGGCTGTCTTTTCAAGTCCTTTGCCAAGATTATGAAAAAGATCCCCGAAGAGACAAATCTGTGAGTAAAACGCTCTCTTTTTGTACATTTCATTACCAGAAAAAGACGTTACATCAGCCATTTTAGAGCCCCCAGACTCCACCGACGAAAACAGTAACTTTACCCTGCACAACACGAGGGTTGTTGGTCTAAATCAGTTGCTTTTTTGTTTGTTTTGTTTTGACTTTGGTGTTAAAAATGGTTAGTTGTGGCTTAGTTGTTTGTGTAACAATAACACACAAGCAGGGTTTATGATGAAGACGGCAGCAGAAATACAACTCATAAAGTTCATTTCTTTGCCAATGGGGTTTGGTGTCTTTGCAGAGGAGGATGAAACAGATGTGTCTAATTTCAGTGAAAGCATCTTATTCTAGAAATGTTTTCTTCTCTGAGGATCAGCTCTGTGGTGCTCTTACATGCTTTGAATAACAATCTGAGTCTGTGTCTGAACTTTTAGAGGAAGTATTTTATTTCCAGTTCATTTGGCTGAAAGGTTAAAGCCATCGCAGGCTGTTTCATATCAATTATTCAAAGTAACATATTTGATCCCTTCCAAACATCACTGATCAGAAGTGATGTGTCCTTTGTGTGATGTGTTGAGTAATCCCGGAAATTTTCGGTGAAGCGTGTATCAAGGCTTGTGTTGGTGACGTATGTGATGACGTTTGAAGCCTCACGAGCCATGGCCTCAAATCACATGCCTGATTCAAGAAACGGTTTTTAATATTTGCTTTATAGTTGCCTTTTTGGCTTCGTGGTTTCTGGTGCTTATGCAGTCAGCCTCAGGTGGGCTCTCAGGTAACTGCAGATTTCAGCACTCATATATCGGCTTTTTTTTCAAGACCAGAGGTTGCTTCTTGGGTTTCACACTACATTTAATCTAATCAACCATGGTTATCAAGTCTTGTAGGGCTGTCCCAATATGATATTGATATCAGATATGGGTCCGATATCAGCCAAAAGACAAATATCGGTTTATATCGGCCTGCATCTAAAGTCTCTGATATCAGCGCTCCGATACAAGCAGTCCATTCCAGACTCCACTCCGGCACCACTATTTAGCAGTGCCCGGATCCAGCATGCAGAGCCCACATGATCACAACAACAGTGTGTAGTAAGGTACAAACAAAGTAGCAAGGAGTAGGAGTGATGTCGGCTGTGTGGCAGTATTTTTTGTTCAAGTCCGAAAAAGACATTGCAAATAAGTGCAAAACTTGTCATGCACAAGTTTGTGCCAATATCGCTATCAGCCGATACTGAAGGCTACAATATCGGTCTTGTTTATGTTTATGGCAGAAATTCCCCCCCAAAAAAACCACTGGCTAAGATGAAGATGATGCAGAGAAAAGCTAATCTACAGAGGGTGCCAAAATTAACACAGACTAAAAGTTTATGTTTATGTCTATTATGGATCCCCATTAGTCTTCACTTTGTGACGACTATTCTTCCTGGGGTCCTCAAGTTGCTCACAGGAGCTTCAAGTCCACTCGATATTTGATAAAAGTAACACGAACAATTGTTGATCAGCAGATTAACAGAAGTGTGCCCAGCTCTTAAAATGAAGAACATTTGTATTCTTCATTTTGTTGTTTTAGTCTTCCTCCATATCTGCGTCTTCTTGCATACTTTACTCATGCACAGATGTGATATATAACCTATATAGAGTATACCGTATATAGGTATATTTTATGTTCATTCGATCTTTCATACACCAATAACGGCCTTTAGCTGATAAAGGGTATCAGATTATGCTGTTTACACTTCTTGGGTAAACAGGTAATGATTGGTCCATACTGTGGGCGTGAAACACTCAAAAATTACCTATAAGTGGAGATGAGGCCTATGCAAAGAAAAAATCAGATTTTAAACAGATTTCTGGTATATCATTTTATTAAACTGTAATCCATACTAGAGCTGATCAGTAAATATGCCAGTTCTCCTTTAACAGCAGCTTCAGTTCCTGTGTTGTGTCTTGACCACAGCAATGAACAAAAAAAACAGGATTTATGAGAAAGAAAAAGGAGGTTTAGTTGTTAAACTGCAGTTCCAGGTGGAATAAAAAGCAGCAGGAAAAGCAGAGTGCTGGTGCGTTACACATTTGAACAATTACACCGGCCCTTAAAAGCCTCCAACCTTTCCGTCACCTTCCTCTCTCCCTCCTTCTTTATCCCTCCACCCACCCGACCACGGACAATTTCTCTCTACAAGGTTCGTCTCCTTTCTGCTTCGCTTCCCTGACATTACAGCTCCCCCGTCCCACCCCCACACCATCTTGGCTTCCCCCGCTACACTGTAATTAAGATAATTGCTCATAGGGGTTTGAGGAAATTCAATTTCCCATTTTGCACTGGTCCTTTTATCCCAGTAGCTTCTCTTTGTGCTGGCCCCTCATCGCCCGGCAGTTCTCTGGCCTGGAGTCAGCTGCTCGGCACTTTATCAAATTCACCCCTAATGTTTGCATGTGTGCCTTTGGACCTTTGGAAATATACCCTCTTTATCAGCTTTCAGACTCACACTGACTGCCCAGTAGGAGGTTTAAAAGGAGGAAGAAGAAGTTAACTCCTGGAAAGTGTATCAAAATTCCATTAATTTCAAAGCAGAGTAACCAAAGAAGTGACACGTCTCAATTTATTGTTACAGCCTCTGAGCAGTCACGCCACATGAAGACTAAAAACTGAACATTGGAGCCTGCACGGAACCAGCAGAAGAAGGTGTCCTAGAGTCACACTTCAGCACAGAGCATTTGCGTAAGTACCTGCTCCCCAAAATAGTTGCTTTGACTGCTGGTGAGCTCTCAGGGCCGGGGGCAGTTCAATTATTCAGAAAAGGTCTGACGAAGTCTCGCCAGGCTGACAGGCTGCTGCAGCTGAATCAAACAGCTCTGCCATGCTGCCGTCAGCTGAAAAGCCTTCATCCTCATAGTCAGCTTTTCAAGAATGACGGAGGATAAAAAGACACAGCTTAATTATCCTGATTGCACGTTTTCTAGCCAAGTTCGAATAGACAACTTTATTCAGGAAACAGTGCAGTAAGCTCTAATGGCATAAATGCTTACTTCAGTGTGATTTCAGTAAAAAATTAGGAAAAAAAACACTTTCAATATCATTTTCTTACTGTAAGAAATTTGAAATGTGATTCTTTTTCTTATCCTTTTGACAGGTTATTATTACTTTTTTCTTTTTACTATTTAAAAAGAGTGAAGTTTTTATGTTTGGCATTTTCATAAATGTTCTTCCTCGAGTTGCATCACCCTGCTGCAGTCCTTAATGGACTTGTCTGAGGTCTCTGTACAAACAAGCTGCTGCTGGAAGAGAGTAGGTGAGTTGTGTTTGGTCTCTTTGATAAAGAAATCAGGCAAAGTTAAAAAAGATGTTTGATGGCTAGTGATGTGGCTGGGACACTATATTTACTGTTGGTGAAGTTAGGTGCTGTTCTGAGCATTATTTGTAGCTATAGAGTGGCTTTTTGGTTGAGATGTGCGTGTGGATCCTAACACCGCTGTGTATTGCTATTGTGCAGTCATTACTGAAGTTGGTATAACTAGAGAAACAAGCAGTCGGCAACATTCATCTCTCGATGGGGTGTCTAAGTCTGTGTTAGGGTGTGTTTGACCCTAACTTAATTTTACGCCGGAATATCCCTTTAATACCTTGAAAGCTATTTTCTGGACTTTTCTGGTGGATGTGACTTCATTAAATAAAATGAGACACGTTTACTCAAAATAAGAGGACCATTTTTGTTTGTTTGCTAAGTTTAACCATCCTAGTATAAATTCTGAGGCACAAACCATGTTGAGCTTGATGTGCTGTAACTGGGTGAAGGGTTTTGCTAAGCTTGTTTCAGGCTGAGGCCTCAATGGACAACCTCAAACAATACACACTGGCTTGAAACAGACACACCATTTATGCAGTGAACATAGGCCCTGGATGGATCCCAACTAGGTCACATTCATACATAACTGGCCCTACATAGAACCCCTTTAAGGGTCCTTCATCAACCCCCATGAGCCCACCCATACAGAGCCTCTATGGTAACTCGGGGGAAAAAATCGTCCAGGCCATGGTTGAGTGCCCATTATAGGCCCCTCATGTGGGGGTTGGATTGGTCGGAGAGAGAGGCTGCATTTACGCCTTTTCATTATCAGGCCTGACCTGATTGAGCGTTTCACATGATCACGACACAAGATATATTTCACATCCATCCAGGCAACACTATAGGGACTGTGTTCGGGAAGGGGGGAGCATTTCAAAGAACCTAACAAGGTGATTGGATGAACAGTTTTGTCTTCTACATTGATTATGAGCTAATAAACATCACAAAGCATACATGATAGTATGCTTAGACTACATAACCTAGGCTGGACAGGAAGTAGTCCTATTAATGTCAACCTTGTTTTAGTCCAAAGACAACAGAATCAGTACGACTTTATCAGACCATTTCTATGTGACATGAACTTCAACAAAGTCCTCATAATATGCCTTTGAGGTGAGCACATTTTGCCGCTTCTGGAGCTGCACTCATGCTACTCTCCTCACTAACTGCCATTGTTTTAAGGCTAAGCACAACTTACCATGCCCGTAGCTACCACTTCTTTCTCCTTGAATCATGCTGACTGATTCAGTCATTCTATCACCAGAAAAAAAATCAACTAATCTTTCCCATATTGTTACATCAGACCCACTCTCATCTCTTCTCCTTCATCTTCAACCACATAATTGTAGCACTTTGTTTGCAGCATTTAGCAGATCACAGTGACGAGGAAGAAACCTTGAGCAGAACCAGATTCATATTAAGACAGTCGTCTGCTGACACCGATCTGGGTTTAGAGAGGGGGGAAAGGGAGACTGACAGAGACAGAGAGAGAGTGATGGACTGATAGAGGATATGAAGAAAGAGAGATGGACAGAGAAGAAAAGCATGCAGGCCCACAACAGCAAAATGCAAGCAGCATGACTTGTCATGTTTTTTTTTTTTTTTAAACAGTTTTTTTAATGAAACTGAATCAACCCCCAGGGACAATAAACTGACTAATTGTTAGTCAATTTATTGTTAAAGAAATATGGCGTCACTGAGTGTAGCTCTATTAACTTACATGATCATTTTACATTCCAGTTAAATGTAATAATTTGATTTTTTTTTTTTAAATCCAGGGTTTGTGTCATCATTGTTTTTACTTGACATCACGTATGTTAAATAAAAAACCACTTGGCCTTAAAAAAAAACGTCATTCTCTAAGAATTGATGATGATAAAAAAGTGGTCTCCTTGTAATGAGGGTAGCTTGTTATTTAAGCTATATAGTATCATCCTGCTGGGATCTGTGTCTAAGGCTGCAAGACTGTAGATGATACAGCATCGATGAACAGCTCTTTTGTAACTGGACCCACAAAGTGAAATTTTTATGTAGTTAGCCACAGATTTTCTCCCTCTGGAGAAATCCCTCCACTGCTATGGGAGAAATTCGACCAAAATACCCCAAAAGTCCTCATTAAACCTTGTTCACTGCAGCAAAGGGACTTTCTAACCCCGCATGAATTTAATTATAGACGGTATAAAAGAAGTTTTACCGACCATTGATGCTCTAAATGCTGTTTAATAAGTCTGTCTAATGGTAGGGGGGGGAAAAAACAGGCTAAAGGTGAAGAGTTATTCTTTTAAAACACTGTGACAATGTGGTCTGCAGCGAGGGAGTGTGGATGCAGCCCAGCTCCTGAAGGCAAAATGCAAAATCACCTCAAGGAATCCACAGGAAGAAGTGTGTGTGCAATCAAGGTGTAATTGCATGGGCGGCATGAAATGAGCAGTCTTGCGTTTTCTGACACCCTATTGACTGCTGGGAGGCGACTCAGCTGGAACGTGTTGCGTGCATAATAAACCATGCCAATCTGAGAGCCGACTAATGTGCGGAAACGGAGAATCCACCCTTTAACTTAACTGTTAATGCTAAATGCCTTTCCACCTGACTTCTCCTCGCTCTCACTCTGCAGTGAGGAGGAGAAGAAAAGCAGAAGGGGGCTTGTTAAACATTTGCTTCATACCAATGTTTTTTTCATGAGGGCTTCAGGAGGTGGTGGTGGTGGTGGTGGTGAGGGGGGATCTTCGTGCTCATTACTCTGTGCTAGTTTGCAGCAGAAAAGCCAGGGCAGCTCCTTTCATGTAATCAACAACTCAGAGCGAGTATGAGGCTAAATTCTGGCCCAGCGAGCGGTTCCTTATTTGATAATTAGGCAATTGCGGGTCAGAGATGACTCGCTTTTTGCTCTGTGGCAGCAACAAAACCGAAGAAAACATCCAAATACTATTAAGAAACTCATTTTGGCCCATGGGGCTGATCCCTGCCAGGGTTTGAATACAACGATTCACACTCAGGTCAAACATGTATATAAAGAGAAATCAGTAACATCACGCACACACAGCTTAGACGAATTACAGTTGCACATATTTCCATGTAAAAATCATCTCTACTCTGCCGACTCTGTGGTTGCTAATGAGCAGAAATATTTTGACTTCTAATTATACCGGGTGCTGGTTGGCCAAAAGGTTCAAGTACAAGCCCTGTGCACAGGCTTCAGTCCTCATGGCAATGCTAGCTAGTGCACCTTTTACTTAGCTGACCTGAGCTGGTTTTTTAAGACCTCTATGGGGGCCCTGTGAGCAGATTCAACCCACTCCCACTGCCTCTGAAGTAGGCCTGGGCGGTATGGGAAAAAATGTATTGTGATTTTTTTTTCATATCAGACGATATCTATATATATATATCACGATATAAAAGAATCACTTGTCAATCTTAAATGCTCCCTGTTACTCTTACATAGAATTTAACAGTGCTTATTGGTAGCATGTCTTTTGCAATACAATAAGCTACTGCATCTGTGAGGTCTTTGTGTCTCTTTGACGTTTTTTCGTAAGGCGTTGCGTTAGAGAAAGCAGGCTGAATGGTCGGCTGTTTCAGTTGAACAGGGACCATGGGCTCCCTACTTCGCTTGGGGTTTGTAACCTTTTGCATCGCCCATGCTCTGCCGTGTGGCACTGCTTCAGGTGGTGAAAAAGATTTGAGGTATTCCCCGACTTTGTGAGAGCATGTCCTTGACATAATTTGCAGTGCACATTACTCTGCTTTATGTCCGACCTCAAAAAACCAGAATACCTCCACACCACCAATGTTTTCGTGCCAGTGTTGTCGGCGATGTCGTCATCTGTTGAGTCTTCATCGGCATTTCTGTCGGGGGTAGCACTCTTTTTCTTTTTTTCTTACCAACAGTGCTGTCAGCTCCACATGTTAAAATGCTATGGTTGTTTGTAGCTGCAGCCTGCTACTACGCAGTTGTTTGCTACTTTGTTTTAATTCAGCACATGATTGGTTCAGCACAAAGTGGACCCAGAGCAACTCCCCTTTTCATTGGCTATTTGTACAGTCTACCAAAACATGGCAGAATGCTGACCCTTGAAAAGCATATTGACCATGTTTTACATTGATATCGAGGGAAATCAATTTTTGATATATATCGTTATTGTTTTATCATCCAGCCCTACTCTGAAGTCTCACATTCACAAGCAATACGTTACAATGTGAGCATTATGCAGTGGGATGAACCTGATAAATAAGCTGCTGTATCTGTCTCTTTAATTTTTGTGAATTGGTTTAACCCTTCACCCTTGGCCCTATCCACTAATAACAGCAGACCATCCCTCTTAAGGGCAATGAGTATTAACCAGCAGCAGTTCAGCTGCGGTAATGCCAAGTCACTATCCGGTGATCACGAAGCATTCTGATGTTGTCATTGGATGATTTTTTATCCAGATCATGAGGGTGAGAGTCTGTTTACAACCCCTGATAGGCAGCCAATCATCTATCCTGTTAAAAAAACTAACAAAACTCATACTAGCAGCTAGCACCGCTAAAAATTACTGCCTTATTACAAATTGCAGGATGAAGAAAAGAGATGAGCTGTGAACACATTTTTTAAAAGACATACTGAGTGTATCATCCCAATAAAACAGAGCGCTGTATAATTACAAAATGTGAGGGAAAAAACAACTGATTAAGGAAAACAAAGCAAAACTTCAACTGTATTCAACACTTAAAATGTTTGATTTTATCTTAACGTCACAGATTTGACTTTCAAATTAGAGTTAAGACAGCAGGGGAGCACAACAACTCTGCTGTCCAGTGATTTTTTTCTCCGGCCTTTTTCTCCAGATGTGACGTCTTTGAAAGACAGTTTGCTTTCAGAGGAAGTTAGGATCTTCACAAGTTTATATTCCTCTATTCCTCCTTTGTGTTTCCCCTAAATAACACAGCTGTGCAGCCAGTGTAAACAACATTTCTGGCACCGTTTTGAGTGCCACCAATACACATGTGACCCGCTGTGCTGTTCAAATCTATTTCGCTCCCTGCCGTGCTAAGTAAAGCCTAATCTCCAGAGGCAGGTGTTGAATGACACAAATCTTCTAATGCCTGGGTTTACTTTAGTCATTAAGATTTGTAGAGTTTTATATAAAAATTCACTCAGCAGGGGGAAATAAAACAGTGTGAGGACTGTGATTTTGTGTAGTCATGCTTTGAGGGTCATTTTTGGTTGTCATTATCAAGACATTGAACTCTTGTTGGCAGTGTTTAAATGCAGCAGGCTTTTCAGTCCTTTAAAGAGACTTAGAAAAATCCCAAAATATTTCTATATGTTACAACAGATCAAGGTAAAATAATACTGCAGTTGCACAATTGTTCATCACTTTTCTTCCTGAGGTGAAGGTATGTAATCTAAAGCTGCCAGCCACCATAAACACAGTGACTGCCATAGGTCTGCAGCATGCAGACAGTTTCTGCCGATTATTACTGCCGTATGACAGCCTATTATTGCTCTATGACAGGCCATTACCTGCACAGAGGAGCCAGCTAATGAAATAGGTTGCAGGACAGAGAGGAGACAGTGTGCTATCAACAAATCAAACAGATGCTCTTCACACTCAGCCCCAGGCAAAGACTCGAACACTGAAACTATGTGTCAGAGTGGACTCAGAGCAGTATACTGGATATACGATGGGGAGGGTTTTTACCACAGACTGTATATACTATTCTATAAAAAGTCTATGGTTTTTAACCTTAGTGAAGCTTACAGGGATACAAAGAAGTGAGTCAGCAGCAGCTGATTCTAATTTGGGCTGAATATCTTCACCCAGTGGAGAGAAGAGCGGTGCTGCATTCAGGCTGATTCAACTTCAGCGAACAATGATGGACTTATGGATTTATTGCTTCAAAGATGCATAATAATGAATTTTATGTGTTCATATGTAACAATATGTCTCTGCTTATCGAGCTGATTTCTACATTGATGTCCATATACACACATTTGGTCAATATAATCGAGTTCCGCCTTCAGCTATAAAGCAACCTTAAGTTTTTAATGGACAACAAATGGATTTTTGAGACTTTGCAGTCTTACCCACGAAGTGTCTTTATAAATATGCCTCACTTTATGGCCTTTTGTCCAGTTTTGAAAAGTAAAACAATGTTAATTATAAGCACCTGTTGTGTTAATCAATTTATCCTTTCAATTGGTAAAAAAAAAAAGGAAAATAAAACCCTCTCTTTCTTTCTCTTGTAAAGGTTTGTAGGGATTTACAAAAGGCAGTCGCTTTCACGGGATTTTTGACTGTTGGATTGAATATAAAAAAACACATAAATTTACAGAATTATCAGCTTCCAGTTCTGAACAATCACAAATGGTTCATTAATGTATTGATTTGCAAACACTGACACAAACTTTTTCTCTAGATATACAGTATAAGGCTTAAACTCTGATATATAGGGCTTAAAGGCTGTGATTTATTACTATTAGACTTGACTCTGTCATCTCTTATAATAACAAAGTGCTAATTGTAGCCTCTTAAAACACAGTTTAAATGTCTAATTTTACGTCTTTGAGCACAATGGGTTACCATCCAGGTTTTAAAAGAAGCTTAGGTCATCCTTCCCATCAACTGAATCTGAGCGCAAGACTCATTTTTACCTATTTGAAGCTGCCTCACAGTTTTTTCATCATTTTTTGAGGAGGGAAAGTCATGTGATAAATTTGCATTAAAAAAAAACTACAAAAAAAAACAACAAAACATATATTGAGGTCTCTCTTTTTTAAACCGCAGCGGTCCAAGAGCCTCATTTAAACAAGCTCATCTTGACCCTTCACTGCTTGTTTTCCCATGTTTTCTACATTTCCAGCGTCTCTTCATGAGGATCATTCCCTTTGATACTATATTCCCCTATATTACCTCAGCACAGCAGCATTGTGGGACAGTATAAACTCAATCATCCAACTGAGGTAAAGGATCCCGATATGAAACAGGTTAAATGTGACAGGAGTAAAATACTACAGATTTATTTTTTATGCCTCTTACATTGAAGTTTAACTTCAGGTGGCTGCAGGCAGCTCTTCTCCTCTCTCCTTTAACATGATATAAAAGCTAGCCAAGGCTAAAATTATGACTCCTCCTCATAGTATAAATTTATTCTCACAAATGTATGAGTTTAATCTCAAAATCTCAGTTTCCTCTCTTTTCACTAAGGTGGTCCTAAAGCTCTGTTTTAAATTTGAGCACCAAGATAACTTGATAAACTTTATAAATGTTTTATAGCGTCACATAGATCATGAGCAAAGGTAACCTGAGTGGAAGAAGAGAAACAGCTTTCTGAAGATGCTCTACAAGCTGCAGGGCAAATCATTTGCAGTACCACAGCATCATGCAGCAAAAAGACTTTTGGGTCAGAGGCACAAAATGTACTTCCATCCTGGATACATGTTTGGAATTAGTGATGACTGACCCAGCAGCAACCCCTGTGTTGACAAATAAGAGTGACTGTAGGAGAGCAGACACCAGCAGTTCCTCGAGAGCCTACTTGATGCTTCAAACGCACACAGGACACTCTTTAAGGTTCCATACTGGAAAACCATCTCCACAGAAAAATTAAACATGTTAACGACAAGAGTAAATGTTCATAACTCATCCAATTAAATCATGATTAGTCCAATTATTGTGCATAATTAGGAGGAACATGGTGGGCGGGTGTGTTGCAGGTCTTTGCCAGATGGCTAAAGGCCAACCTTAAATTCACTTGTTTACCTGGATTACAAAGACTGGCTTTTCCAAGTTTATAAGCATCGACTATGTATATATGCACCTCTGCTATGGTGGGACGTGGTGATATGCAACTTCCCGGTTGACCCATAACATAACAAACCAAAACTATTAGCAGACAGATTAGCAAAGGCTAAAAGGTTGAATGAGGAACAAAGAACACACAGACAGCTCAACAGCTCTGCATCTTTCTTTAGTATTCTTCCACAGATTTGTCTTCTTCCTCTGTTTAGGTTTTGTTCACCACCAAGGTCCCACAGAACTTTGATGTTGTCTGGGTTAACACCTGGCATGCCAACTGCAGAGCAGACTCAGAGCACTTGGGTTTGTTTGGGTTTGGCTAACGCATCGAACCGATGCAATGAATTTGCTTAAAAGTCTGGCTACAGACCCTCACTGTCAGGACCCTTCGTTGTAGACCTCTACTGTGAGGACCTGCTCCACTGTAAGGACCCGAGGTGACCCAAAAGTGCAGAAGGAGATATTATTAAGGATAGATGGTATAAAAGCAAAGAGCAGTCAGCAGTTTGAATGTAGATACATTATGGCATCACATATATTAAGGTGTTTTAACCGAGATTTATTGTTTTAAGCAAATTTGAAGTGCAAACTAAACTAACAGCTGTCTGTTTTACTGAATAAATCAAAATATGCGTGAAATAATTAATGTTTTGAGTTATGTTTTTAAGGTGATCATAACAATAGCTGTACATTAAGTTTGTGTTTTTTATCTGTAGACTAACCCTCAAAGTGGTCATCCCTTTTGTATTTACGCTTTGTTGAACACGAGTACACAAAAAAAAAAATATATTAACATTATATACATAAAATAAAGCCCCAAGAAAAAAAATATATTGGCGCAAGACAAAAAATGTGTATTACTCAGTCAAATCGCTTTTAATTTGAAAGGCTTCGAATCAACTTCAGACGGAAAAAAGTATGTTCGGTATACTTGCTTTTATTTTGAAAGGTTTCAAACTTCCGGTTTCTGACAGTGGAGGTCTGCAGCCAGACCCCTCTCTTTCACTACAGAGTGACTGGCCTGCAAAGCCTGTGCAGCCAACCTCTATGGATGTGCTCCAACTTCTGCCCCTGCACTCCTCCACCAGCTCCTGGTACTCTAAACACTCTTCCCTGGGCACTGTGAGTCCCAGCATGATCAGATGTTTTAAAAGGCCTCAGAGGTAATGATCATGTCTGGTGAGAGCGATGTTGTTGCATTGCCAGTCAGAAGCTGTGTGTAGTAGTCCTGCTGTTGTTTGTGTGTGTACACAAGGCTTTTCTCCAGCTTTTATGAAAGGGACTGCCTTCTTTCGTGATGGTGTTTGATGGACCGAATCAAATGTTTTGAACAAAATATAAACATACTGAGCAAGACTGCATCCCCGTTCTTCCCAGTCTATGTAGTTGCTGTAAAAATATGGATAAACATATTAATCTTGAACTTTTGCAAAATGCTTTTTAAGACTTAAGTTTGATCTTTGTGAGTCTTGGTGGGCAGTTAAAGTATTTTCTTTTACTTCATGAGTGGACTTGTTGATAAAAAGAGAAACATTCAAATTGATCTGCAGTTTGAGAAACTGGTAAATACAGCTCTTAAACTCATGACCATTATACCGCCATCTTACTGGTTATCTTAAAGAACCAGTCTCAGCTTGGCTTATGTTGTGTTCCCATCACAAATAAAATCATTCGCATTGTAAAACAGGCCGTATCAAACCCGCACATGTCAGGCAAACATAAAATCGTTATCCTGCACACGACAATAAAACACTCAGGATAAGAAGACTTATCTGAATGTGTTCATTACCATTACAGACCACCAAGTCAAGACTCACCAATCATTCAGGCAGTCTCTGTGAGGTTGAGTCTATCTTTGTGGTAATCACAATCAGCATATTCCTTCAGTTTTTGCACTTCTCCCTGCTGCAGATCTAAATCTGGGGCTTCAATCTAAATGTTTTGCTCTCTGAACATTTTATTACTGGAGGAAATTACAGCAGTTTCAGATTAGGCCCAGCTGTCTTTGCTGGCAGTAATCAGTGTAAGCAATCAGAGACAAATTCACTCAGTGTTTGTGTGTTTGTGGAGGCGACAGGACTGTAGTGTCGATGCTGCTAATGGTTTAAGTTTCTTCATCACCTCAAAGTCCAGATCACAGCGTATGAGAGACTGACTGTGTCGTCAGTACAAAGGAGGACTGATCAGCCAGCATGTTTACATGCACAGTTTTGTGATTTAAGTGGACTCCCGTCCTTGCATCAGTTTACAGGCTGTGGGCAAGAATCAATTCATTCAGTAGGTGGGGGTATGCTCCTTGTTACTAGATAGTCACCTGGTTGACCTTGAACATCATGCACTCAAACAATTGACAAACATGTTCGGACAAAGCTAGTAGGTTATACGGTTCTCTGGTTCCACTGTGTTCATCAACATGTCCTTATTTAACCAGGTACAAAAATCTCACCAAGATCTCAAACCTCTTTATCAAGAGTGACACAATTTTAGATCAGTCCAGAGTTGTTAACTACAGAGGGAAGAACATAAACAGACTTCCATATTCTCAGAATCTCATTTTCAGAAAGAATAAGATCAAAATATGATTCATGAGATTCTGCTATAAAGTCTGCAGCTGACCTCAAATAGAAAGGCTTGAGATCATCATGTCTGGCAGATTTACTTAGATCCAATTGCAGTAAATCCCTATGGACCTCGGCTACATCAAAAGAAGTCTGATCAAATCCTGGAGCCATAGTATTAATGGGTGGTGATTGAGGGCAAACCCCCTGCACATTAGATTGATGTGGATGTGAGGACTCAAATAGAGATCCTGAGGAAAAAAAGTGTTCATTAAGATAATTAAGAATGGCTGACTTGTCAGCTAGAATATGTGCTTCTTTTACTATACGAGCAGGCAACTGGTCTGTGGTTTCATCTTCAAATGAAGATCTGACTACTTTCTAAATCTTCCCACGATCATTTAGGGCACGAGTAGTTTTATCAACATGAAAATCAGACTTGGCCTTTTTAACAAGGAGAGTAAAGGAAATTCTGAGCTGTTTGAATATCAGCCAGTCACCCTGGGATTTAGAATTTCTGGCGTTAGCCCAGGCATCATCCCTGCTGTAAGGAGACTGGACAACTCAAGAGAGGACCGAGGAGTGTTTCTACCCTTCACTCTAAATTTGCAGAGAGGACCATGCTTCTTAATACTACAAGCATCATAAAACGCTCATAGAAACGTTTATAATCAAGCCTAAGAATAATACGTGACCTTGATTTTGGGAGCTTCGCTTGTCTGATAGTGGCTACAATACAATGATCCCTTATAATATTTGTAAAAAAAATAAATACATTTCTCAGGACATTTAAGGTCAGGGCGAGTTGGCCCATCAACTATTTGTGTTAAGCTAAAAAAATTCCAAATAGATTTAAAATGTTCAGAAACAGAAGATAACAAATCCCAGTGATAACAAATCTCCTGTGAGAAGAATCTTATTGAAGTCTGAAGTCAAAAGCTAGTAAATCAAAAATGATAAAGTCTCACTATTAGTAGAGGGGGGTCTATAGCAGCCTGCAACGGTGAGAAAGTGGCCATTGAGAAGCTCCAAATTCAGAGCAAGAGATTCAAACTAACTGCTGAGGGAGAGAGATGATTGAACAGTAACATGAAATTTCTGTCTGACATAGGACTTGCAGGACTTGGAAGATAAGAATTAAGTGGTAGCAACCAGTCATATGCACTAAATAATGCATGTTGCTAGTTGTAGCAGGGCTAGTGGAGGCTAGCTGCTGCAGGGCTGGAGGAAGCTAGCTGCTTCAAGGCTAATGGAAGCTAGCTGCCCCAAGTGAAGGCTAGCTGCGGATTTGAAGCCAAAAATCTCTCGGTATTTCCACGATTTTTCCTCCATTTCCTGAAACCAACATTGGGCAGTTGCGTTGTACGCACTCCACCACCTGCACAGTAGCATTGTACGCATTCAGCAGGAGAATCACCAAGAGTCACTGTGATGATGCTCAGCTCAAACAGCGAATCCCCCGGGTGAGCTAAGCAATCTTTGTACACCCATTGGCTGTATCAAGTGTCAATCATAAAAAAACACGAAACCCCTAATAATATGGCTGGCAGACATGGGATTTATGACCTATACTGCAGCCCGTCACCAGGGTGTGCTGTTCTCAGGGTGAGTTCACCCAGCGAGGAGGCAGACGCTGTCCATTCTATATACAGTCTATGCTTAAAACATTAAATTTCAGACCTCACAAACAAAGAGTTAGGTTGGCTGCTATCTTGGATTTGGTTTTAACTACCCCTTATGCTTCCCATCTTTTTTTTTTTCAGAGAGGGCTAACAAAAAGCTTGATTTTGCATTAACACCTGGCTTCCTGATGTACCTGCTTCACACTATTGTTCTTTATGAGCGTCTGTATCCTGTTGACCCTAAACAAGTTATTCAAACATCAGTCTAACTATAACATAGAATACCAGGTGTACCAGTTTTGTTGAAGGAGTCTGGTAGCTTAAAAAAAAGGAGTTTAACAGCTTTTTGGTTTTAAAAAGAAACATCAGATTTATCTTTGCAATGACAGGGATCCTAATAATGTGGTGAGACACTTCCAGTAAAATCTGAGCCAGTGGCTGATTCAGAAGCATAAACACGCACTGTCAGTGGACTTTATTTGACTGGTACATCTGTCTCAGTGGATTCTACTAAAGCCATCAAAGCCTGTGCAGATGGCACCTGCAGTTATCAATCACTGCCATTCCCAAAACTCTGCACATAATTTAAAACTTGACATTTTTTAAAATAGATCTCAGGTCTGGAAAATACTGCAGACAAAATGCGAGACACTCCTCCCACCATAATCAAGAAAAAAAAAACATACACACAATAAAATCCTGCAAATTATCACCATGTTGGCAAGTGAGTCAGTTCAACACTGAGCAGATATGATGGTAGGAATTGTGCAGAACTTCAGAGACCCTGAAGCAAAACCATCCCAAACAAGAGCAACATCATCCTTCTCCCTCATTCCCTGTCTTGTCGCTCCTTTTCATCTTTCTTATTTCTCATTTCAGTTATCACTTGTCTTTCCATATACTGTGAATATACCGTTCACTTCCATGTCTCCTATTGGTTTTGACTGCTGGAAAATACTGAACTGACAACAGTCTCTCAGGTGAAAAGGAAATGTGGTTGATGAGCCACTTTTTTGGGTCAGAGGTTCCCATCAAAGTGAGGAATTTGAGTGTAGTTTTTATCCTATTTTAACAAATGCCCAAATGACATTTCTTAATCTGAAAACAGTCAAGTCAGAAAAGGGGAAAATAGATCATTTTCTTGAACTATATCATAGCGAAAGAGGTAATGTTTTAGTTTGAAGGTTATTGACAAAACAAAAACTGGCCCAGTTATCATAAAACACGGTAAAGCTAAAGCATGAGCTCAAAACAAGAGACATTTAAAAAAAATTACTGACACTACTGTTTCAAATTTGTCCACTTAAAAACACTGCTGTGGGTACCCTGCAGATGATAAGCTGACATTTCATTTTAGTCAGAAAATGTGAATGCACACTAATCACAAAGGGATTTCAGCATTTGCGAATGTTATGTAAGCTAAATACATCCAGTTAAGACACTCTTTTGGAATAATAGAGGAATATCTTATCTTATCAAAAGTAAAACTTAAATTTCTACAGGCAGGGCTGTATTTTGACAAGTGACAGGATTTTAAAATGTATGTATATTGTAAAGTAGTCACAGGACATGCATGGCATATAATAGTGTGACATGAGTCCTTTTTGATGTATTATGTTGTAGTATCCTTAATAAAGCTGATAATAGCCTACTTATATACAGATCAAAATTAGGTCTTGTAATTGTAACTTTATGTTTCTGTCATGAGACGATAATTGAAACTGCAAATATTCTGATTTTGGGGTAGGATGCAGGAACAGTTGGAGAAGCAATGAGTCCACGCAACAGCTTCACAAGACACATCTTAAGTTTTGTTCATGGTTTTGAGATTCACACACTTAATTGTATTTGAGCAGCCAACAGTTGAGGAAGGAGACTGCAGCTGCAACCCGCATGATGACAGAGCAGGATAGAGAGTGTCAGAGCAGGTGACAGGATGACAGTGAGGCTTCTTACCTCGTCAAACAGCTCCAGGCTGTACGTGTTGTCGTCATCCGCGAAGAAAACCACCCCGGAGTCCCTCTTGCTCCGGTGCTGCCGGAGCCACGCGAGAGCCACATTCCTTTGCTCGGTGGCGCGCGGCATCCCGGCGCGTTTAAACCTGCGTGGGGTGAAAACATGCAGGTGCGTGAACGGCACACCGCTCCGGGCAAGGAAACGCGCTACCAGGTCCGTGCGCGCGGTCGAGTCCTCCACTACGATCCAGTGGAACCGGGGCACCTGGCGGAAGGCGTGAGCCAGGCGGGTCAGCTCCGCTTTCTGCACCGGGCGGGTGTAGGTGGGTGTGATGGCGTAGATCACCGGCAAGGAGGACTGGTTCTGGTTTCCGCCGACCCCCGGTGCGCCAGTCCGGACAACCCTCTGCAGCCTTCCCATCCGACCTGCTGCTGGGACCCGGATCGCCCTTTTAGTGTCGATATCGATCATGATGATGACAATCAGGACCCAAGGCAGCAGGATGAAGAAACGACTGAAAATCACTGATTTCATGGCGAGGCTGAAGTTACAGTGCGCCCTCCTTTCATTCACTCCATCACAGTAATGCACCGGCCAACTCTGAGAATCCTCTGTATGCTTCACAAACAAACAGTAAAAGCAGGCATCAGGAGTTCATTTCCAACTATTCAGAGCACAAAAAAACCTTCCGCTGCTGTTCTGCCTGCACCCGTCCCGGCGGGACCGTTCTCCGGAGTTCCCTCCTCTCCTCTTCCTCCTTCGCCTCTCCCTCTCCCTCTTCTCTCGGATGGGACTTGAGAGCTTCCTTGTCGTGTTATCCTCTTCATCACCAGCCCCGTTAAATTCCCATGCCTTGTTCGTTCTTTCGTGCGAGTTTCCAGAGGGAGAAAAATGACCCGGTGCGGTTCTGCTCCCTGCAGCGGGCGGTGAGGACCCACCGATATGCGCCGCCGACGAGCATCACTTGGAGAGGACGGAGCGCTGCTGAGAGTCTGACGATAATAAAGCAGGAGGGGAGGAGCAGGTGCAGAGGAGAGGAGGGATGGAGCAGAGGACCAAGGGAGAGAGAGAGAGAGAGAGAGTGCAGCGAGAGAAAGGCCTTGTGCGCATTAGTGTCTGCTGAGAGTAAACCAAGCCTCAGAGAGAGAGAGAGAGCAAAGGGAGGTGGAGGGACGAAAAGAAGAGAAGGCAGCTAGGGCACCATACGTGGCCCATGCTGTGTTTGATAAGAATGCATTTTCAAATAAAGCACAAGGTCCTGATATGGACATGTGTGAATACATACTATAGGGTCCTGCAGAGCTCATATAGGCTCCTGTGAAGAGAAGACTTTAAATAGTAGATCTAGATATGGAGCTCTGGCATGCTGCTTTTGACTCTCACAGTTATCTACCCTCAAAGCTCATGTGAGGGGTTTCTTGGCATTAATAAAAAAGCACTGAAATTAACATTTATGCCTTTTTACAATATCTAAAAGCAAACAAGACCATCAGTGATAAGACTGAATATTTTTACATCATAATATTTAATGTCAAAAACCAGTGTGAGAAGGTAGGTGTTATCCAGGATTTCCACCAATTCCCTCCGGATCCGTTTGTGACGCAAATTTTGTGGCGGGTTAAGGACAGCAGGAATCGCGAGAGTTCACAAGAACCCGTGGATGCATGTGCAATAGTGCGATAACAAGTTGTTTTTAGCCACATAGGCTAACCATAAAAGCAGTAAATTGTGTCCTTACAGAGGAGGAAATCTAGACTGATAAAACCAGCATCCCCTCATCCATGGTGTCATCGGGATGAAATGCTTTCTGAAAAACTTTTTACTTGTTCGTCCCTGCCCGTTTGCATGTGGTGAAATACAATCCGCCTGTTTTATTTTGAAAGGAAGCCTGATGTTTTATTTTGTGTCTGTGCCTGACTTCCTTTCCCGCACAGGGTAATCTGTGCTGAAGTTATCCGGCATGCTCCGGCGTCTGGAAGAAATAGAACTTTTGCGATCAGCTGTGGAGTCCGGCGATCCACAGCGGAACGGACAGAAGCCGGTGGAAATTGACACATTAACTTGAATGGTTACGATCAGCTATAGGATCTGCGGATACGGCCTTTCGTAGCTGTTCCGGATGCGGTGGAAATTGGGGGTTAGCCTTACATTTGAAAAAACTAACCCTGTCATTACAATTCCCCTGCAAAATATTCACAGTAAATGGGAAAGTCAGCAAGATGAGATTATTTTGCCGAAAGACAATGTTTAAACATGTGGCAGACAAGGAACAAAGACAAGGGTACACAAGGGCTGCCAAAGTTGGCACAAATCTGAAGTTTCTCATGGGGGCTTTAAACAGAGTAAAGGTTTCTCCAATCTGAAAATCTTTTAAAAGCGTTAAGACTAAATGATCGAACTCACAGGTCTTGATTTGTAGAAACTGTTACTTTGTGTTACACTCATGAAATAGTGCCTTTCGCCCTTGAGGCGTCCCAGGGACATCTCTCTTCATCCTGTACACATTTTTTATAGTTCCCAGAACAACAGGACGTCCTTGGTCTTGAGTCCTGATCTCAGTCCAGAAGTTCTCTTTTAGTTACTAACATTGGAGTTTTATTTAGAGCTCAGATTTTCGACAAGTCCATTACCATATTTCTTAGAATAAAAAAGTGTCCCCCAAACACTTTTAGTCTTTCACAGAGGTAGAATTATTGTCATTACTGAGATATCCAACAGCAGGGTTATGTCTCCCAACAAGACTCCTTCAATGAACTTCTTTGGACCTCACTGGCTCAAACACAGTTCAGTGGCTTATTGTGGATCAACTGAAGTCTCTTTCAAATGACTGGATGTGGGAGCGTTTTGGTGTTCTCCACATCAGCCCAGGAGTGAGTCATTATTGGTTAACCATGTGCGCATCACAGATGAGGAGATAAATCACTGAGCCAGGCAGATGGCATTGATTCACACCGAACTAATTGTTGGCAAACACTTATGATTTCACAGGATGAAAGCACCTTTGTTTGCTGTGGTTTTGTTAGTGGATGAGGAGTTCTGCTGCTAAGGGAGTGTGTTGGGCAGGTGATACTTCTGAATACTTTGTTTGGCAGTGTAAGACTAACTGAATACAAATGTAATGACTTTTTTCAGACTACTATTATCTCATGCTCAGTCATTTTGTTAGAGAAGGTGTATTGAGCATTTTTCTCAGACTATATTTCCTTTCTGATACCTCTTTGATATCTTTACATTATTTTCAGATCAAAAAAGCCTAAAATTTCTCAATAACATTATTTCAGCGTTAGTCTGGAACACTTAGTTTCAGCTGCTGTCTCTTTAAGGCCTCCCTTCCACAAGCCTACTTTCCTATGATTTGCCACCTCTCTGGAGGCTTTTCCCGGGGAAAGTCCATGGCGCAAACTTTTTTTTGTAGGATGGTAGGGAAAGGTCCCGCCCTCCTTCGCCTATGATTGGCTAGAAGTACTGGGTTTTGCCTGGTTATTCCTCATGGCTGTGAAACGTCATCGTCTGTCAGGGTTAGGATTAGGATTAGGATTAGGGTTAGGAGATTCAGAAGTGCGATAATGTTCTGTAATGTTGTGTTTGATGTACAGAGCCAACAGCCCACGTTTAGCTTAAGCGTGTGATGATGTTTCCAGCTTTTCTAGCCAATCAGAAGCGAAGGAGGCCGGACTTTTCCATCCTACAAAAAGAAATAGTGCATCCAGGGCAGAGCTTGAAGTTTTGGCCCTGCCCTTTATTGTTATCAATCATTAGAGCAGCGGATTATGACAAAACAAGTTTACTTTGTGATTTGAAACTTTGCATACATCTAGTATGGACACCAAACGTTGTAACTTTGCAGCTTTTGTTGTAAATGTGGAAGAACACCCCCCCACCCCCCTTCAATCAAAGACTAAAATAATTGGCTTACTCAAAGATAAATTACTTTTAGAAATTGATGTGATGATAGCGAGTGGTTTAACAGGCGCTATTCCATTAAATTGTCATTCTTTATCAACCTTGACTGCACATCCTTCCATCTGTTCACACAGCAAGCAATTTGGAAATGAAGATGAGTCATTCAAATGTCATTTGAAATGAGATCATTTTTATTAAAAATGATCTATTCAGAGTAGAATCACACAGAGAGCACAATTTATGTAAGACCTTGAAATCTTATTCTAAAGATACTTGTGTAAAAGTATGTTTTGCATCAGGCAATATTATCCTGCATAATTATGTTATGTGAAGGTTAATTTTTGTACTTGACTCAAATGTAAATGAATGGCGTGTTTTAACAGTGCAAAGAATTAACTGCAGGATCAGTAATGTTTTAGTCTGTAGAATCAGTCAATATGCCTGTTAGGAAATCAAGGTTGAAATAAATTTGGATGATAAAAATTACTTATCTGACAGTCCCAAATACCTATGTGCATTCGTATTCCTTTTACTGTTATTTTCCTGCTGTGTCCTGATTGGTCAGACTATTAATAATTTATTCTCAACAGCAACACCAGGAATTAATAGATCAGTTTCCACCTTAGACGGTCAGCAGCCACAGATGTGAGAGCAAACTAAAGAGCTACACCCTGACCAACTCGGACAGGGATGACTCAAACACCCAGTACTGTAGCAGAGCGTTGTTAAGTTTATCTGTAGCTCCATGTAGCTCCGTAGATGTGTACTAATCCGTGCCCACAGATTAATAATCTATAATCAATCTTTGTGTAAACATGCAGTTCAGTCTGAAGCATTTTTTCAGTACTTAAAACCTGTCTCTTGAAAACATAAATTATTTTCATAACTACATTAAATGCACATATCACATAGTAGAAAAGAGGTCACGTAAATAATTGTTATATCGAAATATAAACAGAATAAATTTCTCATCAACAGCTCAGTAAGAATTTTAATTTGATGTTTAATTACAGTTAAGAGCTGTTTTCAGAGGCTGCTCACATCACATCAGTCCAGCGTCAAGTATGACTTCCTTCCTGATCCATCAGTCTTTGTAAAACTGTCCTACATCTCCTCCTGTCAGACCTGTCAACCATTTGTCAAACCGCCTCTCAGTCTCCGCACCATAAATGCTGTTTTATTCATGATGAGGGTGTGTACCGGTAAATGAATATGTATATGACAGACCAAAAATAGACTCTTTCTTTATACATAAATGTATCCCTCAGTGGTACAGCCAACCTTCCTGCAGATACAGTAGCTGCTCTGCTGCACAAAGCAAAAGCCACAACATCAGCTCCCAAACAAATTAACTCAGCATGTCAGTAATTCTCACAGCTAATGAATGTTTTTCTAAATTAAATGATAATTTACAACAACAAAAACTCTGACTGGTGATGGCTGCAGGTTTTTTTTAGTGGGAGTTCATCTAAAGCAAAAGACTGAACCATAATTTGAACAGAGCCTCTTTACATTAAGACACAAACCAAATGAATTTGACTAATCTGCTAAGACTTGCTGTGCAGACTTCACATTATATCATCTTTGACTCAGTGCAAAGAAGCAAAGACACACCAGGTTCCAAGTTCGGCTTTACGAAAGGAAAAAAAATTACACAAAGTGACAAAGACAATGTCATGGATTTGAGAGAATAAGATGTGCTCAGTGTGCTGTGGCCCCCTGTTTCAAAAAGCCACCGCTACAATAAAGCTGTCACATTCTGGTTGAAAAGACACAGTTGAGCATCTAAATGTTTATCCGCCTGCAGCTCATCCGCGAGCTGCAGGCATGAAGATAGAGAGGATAGAAATATCAGCTTTCTGACATTAAAGTAAAGGGCTTAAAAAAAGTCAAATACAATTACAAGAGAAGAGTGTTTGAGTGGGAGCTCTTTAAGATAAGCTAAATCAGATGGTTGAGTTGACCTCGTCTGCAGTGGATGATAGCCCAGCTTCTGTTCTGGTTCTCTAGCTAGTATCTCAACAAGGGGGGCGAGCTGACCCGACTGAAATAAATCAGTGATGTATCTCTACAAAGTTAAAAAATGAAATA